GGGGAACACGGATAACGGTGCTTTCGTCGGAAGAGAAAGCAATCTGAACGTCCATTTTGTCCCCGAGAAAAGGGTTAGTCTTGATGAAGGAGGAGAAGAGAGCGGTCGATCACAGCTCCAGTAGCTCCGAGAGGAGAATTAGCTCCATCTATGATTCCAGGATTAACTTCGGTTGATCCTCAGTTTGTATTTTAATAATAATGTAAAATAAATGTCTGTGCAAAGTTAGTGCTTTAATCGATTCCATCTGGCTTGTTATATTGAGTTTCTCTTTGTAAAGTTGCCTTTATTGAGTTCTTTATACATGAGTTTCTATTAAGTTTATATTTTTTTTAATGCAGGGAAAGTAAAGGATGTAATGCCTGTAGAGATTAAGAAAAGCTCAAACATAATAATGTTTATTTTTATTTTTAAGATAATAATAATCATGCTAATGGATTACCTGCATGAAGTACTATTGATTGTCAATAAACCCCTGGTCCCTGTTGTAACACCTAGATATGAAGATTCAAGATTCTTCTAAATAATCATCTATTGATCCATTTTTAATATGTCACATCTGGAAGTTGCTAAACAAAGGCTCCACATGTTTCGATTTCCTGGTTGAAGGAAAGGCTTTAAAAAAATCATGAACCATTAAGACAAGGCTTTAATGCATACGTCTCTAACAGAAAATCTAATTGCGAAAAAATAAAGGAAAAAGGTAAATCAGGTTAAACAAATCTTAATTCTTCATCTTATTTTCAATTTCTTTGATTTTTTTAGTGTCTATGTATAGAGATGACATGGTTTATAACAAACAAAAAGAAACAAAAACTATTTTTAATTGTTTGAACAACATTTTTTTTAAAAGATATTTTTTTTACCATGAATGATCGATTTTTAAAACAAACTTTTGAAAAAAAAATTTTTACATGAATGAACAATTTTATTGAAGAAGCACTATGGGTTGTTCTCAAACGATGAATAAACGAAATGTATCACAGCCCAACATGTTCATCTTTATCTATTTAGTAAATTTATATTTTCATATTTCTCAGTATAAGATATAGGTTTTAATAGGTTTGTCCTCCGATATTGACGCCTTCAGATTTCAAATAAAAAATGTAAGAACTTTTCATAATTCTTGAAAATGTCAGAAGATAATTAAGTGTGTTCAGATGTCTTCCATGAAAACTGTAGTTGCTGAGTAAGTTAGATAGAAAGATAATATGGATAAAATGTTCCGCCAAAATTGTATTTGAAAACAAAATTTAACTTGACAATTTTAAATCTCTTTTCGAGTCGACCAATCGGTTTAGCCGTTTCAACATTTGTTAAAATAGATCAATTGATTTCCTGGCAACAACTTTTCCCTCCAAGAAAAGGATAAGGATGTGTAGTAGGACAAAGTCCAAATGGTCCAATCTTTATTCCATCAACCTGTAAACGTAGCAGTTCCATGAGTTCTTTTTATCAATTTGAAAATGACTTCAAATGTAATTTCAAATCATCTTCCCAAAGCCAAATCCTTTCTCAAAATGAAAGCCTCAAAATATTTGGCTCTTCAAAAAATGAAGAAAAAAAATGTTTGCCTCAAATGTTTGTGGAACTTGGTAGGACCACGGGAATGTTGATAGTTTGGTTCCAGATTATAAGTTAAGTGTGTTCACAAGTTGATTTTTTTTATAAAGGACCAACCAATTAAAATTACTATTACATTATTTAGTCATTGAATTGAAAACTGCCTTCTTGGACTTTCCTGTGTTGTTGCTCGAAATTGAACTTTCACTTAGCATTTAATGATGATGGTCTTTGTACCTAAGTCTTACCTAACTAACTTACTTAAGTTTTTTGTAGGTTAGGATATGAAAATTTTAAAGTTTTCAGTTCTAGTTTTTGAGGGGCATTTGACATATTTCATGAATCCCACGTTCAATTTAAAGTAAATCTTTTGGAGAAACCTTGGTTGGGATCAATCTGAAAGAATTACCTTTCAGTTTGTTTATACATTTATAAACAGGGTGACCCAACAAAAAAACAGGAATTAGAATTTTAAAGACCCAATAATCTTTTGAAATTACTTGAAAAAGTGCTAAAAGTGCTTAAGGGGACTTAAAAATCCTAATCCTTGTTTTTGGGGTCAACCTATATAAATATCCATTATATTTAGAAACAGTTTAAGAAAATATTAACTCTTATCATCGAAAATAAGTAATCTTATTTGGTTATTAGTTTCTGTAATCTCTCACGGGTAATAAACATTTTTCTGTAGAATTAGTGGAATTTTTGTTGAAAAGACAACATTTGAAGAACTTGTAGAAATCTGCCATGAAATTTGTAAAGAATAAGAAATTCAATAGAATAATGAAAAAGAAATAATTGATTTAGAATTGATCTATTAAAAAATTTTAATAAAGAAATAAGTTCCTAAAAATCTAATTAGTTTTTTGTAGAATATTTGATACTTCTTTCGTAGTCATTATTTAATCAATTAAATCGATTCTCAAAGCATAATCATTCAAATTAATTATTTGAAACGTCGACTTTGAGCTCAAACTCAGTAATTATACATCATTAAAACGTTTTAAATCTCTCAAATGAATCCTAAAAAATTACTCCTTAGCACTTCATCCTCAGTTGAACTACCATACCTTGCCTGTCCCTCCCTTTAAGATATCATCAAACTATTGGCTAAACATATAATCCTAAAGGTGAGGTAGTTGGGGTCAGATTATTTACAACAGCCACCTCACATGTCCCATCCTCCCTGAAACATATAATCCTAAAGGTGAGTTAGTCCGGCAGGGTTAAAATACCCACAAGAGCCACCTCACATGATCCATGCCTTTTTAAAATTCGGTTATATGGTGATGGTCCAAACCACTTCAGAATAAAAAAGTAGATGATAGTTCCACATTTAAAAAAAATGGGGTATAGATGTGGTTTAATTATCCACAAGAGCCACCTCGTATGATGTTTTAGCCTCACTGAAACATTTAATGCAAATGGTGGGGTACTACACATCCTTTTATAATCAGGTGATGGTGATGGAACAAACCTATGTCAAATATTTTTACAATGAGCTTCCCTTGAAAAATTGGACCATGAACATGCATTTCAACCCTATAACTATTCTCTATGACTTTCTAGTGGGGGGGGNTCTGATCCATCCCTGTCCCTATCTACAAATCCTATCGACATGTAATAACTGTAAAATATATTCTGATCCATCCCTGTCCCTATCTACAAATCCTATCGACATGTAATAACTGTAAAATATATTCTGATCCATCCCTGTCCCTATCTACAAATCCTATCGACATGTAACAACTGTAAAATATATTCTGATTCATCCCTGTCCCAATCTACAAATCCTATCGACATGTAACAACTGTAAAATATATTCTGATGGCACAATAAAGTCAATACTCCATGTTAAAGTATTATTTTAAGTGAGGGGTAAAAGCTGTTTTGTTATTTTTTAAAACTGTTCAATGTTTCTGGAAATATAGGCCTCAAAAAAGTACCAAAATATATTTTAGATATGTTTGATTTAATCCTTTAAACATTACCTGTAGAGAAAAGCGTTGTAGGGTGATTCAAAATTTAGCGAAGCAGCACACTAAAGTAATATTCATTAAAGGGAGTGACCGGCAAAGTATTGTAGTTAAACCGAAAATGCTGTCTTGTGAAGAAATTTTTTATTATTTTTTAAATGGGATCTGTATGACGTCATCTTTGGACAAAAAACCTAATTCGGATTTTTTAGTTGTGTTATAAAGGCTTGGGGTACTAAATCTATGTATATCCTAGAGGTACGCCCCCCCCCCCCCTAGGAAGCAATAAAAAATAGTTATAGGGTTGAAATGCATGTTTATAGTCCAATTTTTCAAGGAAAGCCTAGTTAAAAAAAAATTGACCAGTAACTTTTATAGTTTGGGAGGGAGGGTTAAAAAAAATGCCAAAAAAATGTAAAAATATTTTTTTTTGTTTTAAACAAATATCAAAGTGAAAACATGAATAATTTATTTGCATGTTTGAAATGACTAAGGTTATATATAGGGATTAGAAAATCAGAGTTTGTGACAAACACTCGTTTGCATTATTGATTGATCGGACTAACGTACATTTGCATTAACGTTCATACAGACTAACGTTTTATTTGAGTGTTAGGTTAGGTTAAGACAATTTCTGGGCCGAGCGCTGCGGCTAGGACAGGCTAGAGGGCCGGGCGCTGCGGCCACATGTGTTACTGATCAGCTGACTTTAGTACAAAAGTACGTTAGTTCAATCGGACATTAGTGCAAACGATACAGCATCAAACACTCAATTCATTTGATAATGATAAATTAGGTTTAAGTGTTACATGAATATTAGATCTGAATTTCGGAGGGCTAATGGCACGCTTCTCATTCCAGAATGCCAAGCTTATTTCCCTGGCTTCGAAAATGTAGGACCGACTCTCTCCCAAACTCTGAAATATTCATAATTTGTCTCATGTTTACGCCATTTTTCGCCATTTTTAGTCCCAGTTAAACCATCAATTATTTTTTGGCTTTAGCTAGTTCCTCTTGGTTGTGTAAATTTCAAAAATTCGATAAATTAAAAAATACATCATTTGATGACTTTCCTTGTTATTTTGTAAACATACAGTTGGAACCAGAAAACTCTGGAATTGGAAGACGACTTTTTGATTGTGAAATTTTAACATGCCCATTTCCCTTTATACGGGATTTAATAAATTAGTGTAAAACTATTTTCTTTGTAACAACATCAAATGTGCTTCACTTTGATGTCGTATTCCTGTTCCACAGTTTTCTGATTATGAATGTAATCTATACGTAGTTCAACTCTTCGATTATCTTTATATATTGTCTACAACAGAATGTAAAAATGTTCTACTAGTCGGGGACATAAATTGTGATTTTTCTAGACCTACACATTTTGTGCAAAGTATTAGAACATTTGCAGATGAGAAAGGCTTAAACATTTTCTGGAATCTGCCAGATAATGATCGAATTGAAGAAGTAAGTTACACATACAGAAATACAGTGAACAATATAACTTCCACTTCCACTATTGATCATTTCCTCAGTAATTTTTTTTAATTTGAATTTTTTTAAAGTGTTTTAAAATTTAGTTAATCAGATTTTCATTAAAAATATATTTCAAATACTAATTATTAAAAGGTTAAATGTTTAAAGAAAATTGTGATTAATAGTTTTCAAAGAATTTAAAACTTAACCATTTATTTCGCTCATCTTGACTCTGGCCTTAATGGCTTTGCTCTATATATACATATATTTATATATTTATATGTTAGATATAGCTGGCGAAACGGCTGAACCAAATGAGCTGTTTTTATGTGGAAAACTCATGGGTATCTTTGGAATAACATCGGCAAAAAAATTTCGAAATATTGATTTTTAAAATTTGATTTTTTTAATTTGAAATTTTGTTCACTGGCAACGCCAGGTACTTCAGCTAGTTGAAATAAAACCTAAAAATTACTTCTGGGATTAAGATGAGAAATATTAGAAACCAAGCAGACGCCAGGTCTGCCATCTGAAAATATTAAACAAATTAAACATTTAGAGTTAAAATGTTCCAAGCCGACATTTTGTTTCAACTTTTGCCTTGAACCTTGAAAGGATTTAAAAAATTTTAAAAATCCACAAGCACACAAAGTAAAAAAACAAAAAAACAAGAAAAAGTAAAAAAAAGACAATTTTAATTAATATATTAGACATTATTAAATTATAATTCTAAACCATGCAGTTAAAATGTTAAGTAATACTTAAATGAAATTGTATTTATATTGAAAAGATAGTGAAACCCATCAAACTTTGGAATAGAAAGATGTCTTTTCACCAATCTTATGTACACCAAGCTTATGTACATTTCAGGTTTTATGAAAAAAACTAGTTTTAATACAGTGGTAGGCGGTTATATCAATACGATGAAGACGACTTTGAATTTCCATTTGGAATTATATTAAGCTAGAGCATGTATACACATTAAGATAGAAGCCGAGAGGAGCTGTCAATTAAAAAAGCTGTTCTTTGAATACTTGTGAACTTGAAATTCGACAAAATCAAGTTAGCAGTCAAAACTTATATAAACAAGATGTGTTCATTGTATTGATATAATCGCTTACCACTGTAGTTGATTGAAACCCAACTTAATAAGTGAAACAGACCAGGGTTGCACAGCTGTGTTTTATGTGCATTAGAATATTTGAATTTATATCAATCCTATTCCTTTTCCAAGGTGTTATGGGTCTTACTGAATATTTATGGTTGGGTAAAGTTTACAATTCAGTGAATTGTCAGAGTTGACTTTAGTTGATGACTGAAAACCATCAACTGGCCCCATTTGCACAAAGGACGTGTTTGCCATTTGAATAATTAAAACATTCATGTTTAACAGGGTTCTTTTTTACTAAACTTTTTTCATCGTTTTTAAATATATGTTTTTAGAAACTTTTACTTTTTATTTATGAGATTCAAAAAGTTTTTAATGAAATTTTTAAATTTTGCGTTTTAGCTTATTTTGAAGTTTCCACAACAACGAAAAAAGCTATGAACTTTATTAAATTCTATTAATTATTAACAAGCTTTTTTTATTTCATGAGCTAAAGTTATATACAAGAATGGGCCTTTAGAATGCTTCGTGCCCATTCTCTAATTTGACTTTTAATTCCATTGTGGCTCTACATGTGAGCATCTTCTCAAGTTGTATAGTATAAAACAATACAAAAAAAAGATCACGGATTGTCAAATATTTTAAGTATTTCCATAAACGTTCTCTGTGGTCATTTGAGGTCCCACACCAAATTTGGACCCTATCGCAAATTGTTTAGATGTATACATAAGATTAAAATATTTTAAAATCACTCTATGTTTCCAAAAGAATCGAAGAAAGCAAAGACGACTTTACAAAGAAAAGAAAAAAAGCTGGTGTTCCACGAAACATTATAGTTGGTGAATAGTTTAAAATGTCTTCTTCCATAATTTGTTAAGTTGTTTGATACCAAGGAGATTAATAATAAATATTTCATGGTAGTCATATTATAGTAAAATGGATTTCAAAATAAAATATATTTGAGTAAATTGTTTTTAAAACTAAATAAACTGCAAAAAGTCTTTATAACATCTAATACAGTATACGGAAGAAGACGTTTAAAACTATTCACCAACTGTCATGTTTCGTGGAACACCCTGTATTCACCAACTGTCATGTTTCGTGGACCACCCTGGAGTTTTCGTTAAAAATAGTTTACCAACTTGTTTCTTATCTTTATTGCCGTCTTATCAAAGTAACACATACTAGGCTGTCCGTAAATATAGTTCCGATCATGTTAGCTAGATGTCAGTACAATTCAGTTTGTGTTATTTTAGTTTAAACGCAAATATACAATGATTTAGTCTCTTATTAAAACTTCTTATCAAATTTATCAGTCATTTTCATCGAGGGACAAAGCTAGTGGTAGGAGATTTAAAAACAAGATTAAACTCATTTTGTTTGGATTAAAATTAAAATAGACATCCTTCATCTTCTCTTTGAAATTAATTAATAGGGATTTACACTCTATTCCTCAAGTATGCTTTTATTTTTGTCACAAATGACAGTTTTATGATATATTACCTGAAGTGCCCGGCGCCCGCATTGCCGTGAAAACTTTTACAGTCAACTTTTAAAAAATTATTTTTGAAAAAAAAAATATTTTGGCCTTTGTTACCGCAGGGGTACTCAAGAGTTCCATCGAAAAATGTCAGCCAATTTAGTCCGGCCGTTTGGCCAGCAATAGCTAACATATATACAAATATATGAGCGAAGAGCGTTGATATATATATATATATATAGATGGATATTTCAGTTTTTAACTTCACATTTTTTATTAAAAAAGAATTATACTAAACATAATGTTTCACGCCATCATGACGATCCTCAGAAGTTAAAATTCTTTGAACAAATATAGAGATATATAGTTTTGGATGAAAATGAATTCTGCCAAATTCATTAGTTAGAAAGTTTGTTCTGAAACCTCGGGATCAACGCCATTATCTCCTTCGTTTGCGGATAAATTTAATTTGTCTTCAAAAGTCAATGAAGGGCATTCATTGCAGGGACAACTTTCATTAGGGTATCTCCTTTCTCCATAATTATCTTTAAACATAAAGTATTAATCTCTGGTTGTTTGTTTGCATATCCAACCATAACTCATAAACTCCTTGAACTCATAAACTCCTTGAATTTTTCATGGTTAGATCAAAGAAAAAAATTAGATCGATAACTTTAATAGTTTGGGTGATACGGAGGGTGAAAAAAATGCTTAAAAAAGGGTCAAAAAAATGAAAAAAAAATTTTTGTGTTAAACAAATATCAAAGTGTAACATGTTTCTGCATGTATTTTTCATGGGCTTTTCAAAAATATAGTTTTTAGATCTGTAACTTTATTTAGTCACAAAAAAGTAATGGGCTATTTTAGATTTTTTTTCCGCCCTGTACCCTACTTTATAAATTTAAAATATATATATTTTTTTAACAAAAAAATCCTTTAGATTACTATTCATTAAAAGTCACAAAAAGTTTCAAAAATTAGAGTGCTAGGACACAAAAAACTACAGGGGGCCAGCCTGTTTAGGGTTGTAGTGAATTATGCTACCATGATTAGTACGATCTTTATTATCTATGTTTCGTTATCTATTTTATCTACGTTCATATTGACCCTGACCGACCATTCCGGTCAGTTCTATTTACCTGTACTAATAAAGTAGTAATGTATGAATCATGATTTAAATGGATGTGTATAAGGCCTTGAAATTTGGCTAGAGATATAGAGCCTTGAGTTTTGGCTAGAGATAGAGTTAGTGAGACTGAAATTAGACTAAGAGTCAAGAAATCTCGGGACCTAGATTTATTACAGGGTTTAGAGTTCTAAATTAAGTATTACATTCTGCAAAATGTTTATTCTGCCAAAAAATGAGTCGTTTTGGTTAAATTCTTTGGTTAGAGAAAAATTTTGGCTTATTGTAAACTTGTAAAAGCTGTAAAATTATATATATATATATTGTAAACTTATTGTAAACTTGTAAAAGCTATTATATATATATATATTGTAAACTTATTGTAAACTTGTAAAAGCTGTAAAATTATATATATATATATTGTAAACTTATTGTAAACTTGTAAAAGCTGTAAAATTATATATATATATATATATATATATTGTAAACTTATTGTAAACTTGTAAAAGCTGTAATTTTATATGCTTCATCAGCGATGTAGACAACTTTCTAAATTGAGTGGGTAATTTTTTGGTTTTCAGGCAAAGCTGGATTCCCAAGCTAGTACCTGATAAATTGTAATAATCTGTGTTTGTCTGTTTGTTTGGTAATTGTTAGATATGTCCGATATAAACGTTTCATAACATCATTCATAGGGTTCATCTATGTTATATGACGTCATAGTAACATCATTCATAGGGCTCATCTATGTTATATGACGTCATAGTAACATCATCTATGTTATATGACGTCATAGTAACATCATTCATAGGGTTCATCTATGTTATATGACGTCATAGTAACATCATTCATAGGGTTCATCTATGTTATATGACGTCATAGTAACATCATTCACAGGGTTCATCTATGTTATATGACGTCATGGTAACATCATTCATAGGGTTCATCTATGTTATATGACGTCATAGTAACATCATTCACAGGGTTCATCTATGTTATATGACGTCATGGTAACATCATAAATTTCAAAAATTATTACGTTGCAGGATCTAACATGTGACGTCATGGACAATATTCATATTTGCGCTAATCCCTTTAATCAATTTCATATTCAATCTTTTCCAACTATTTATAGCTTTATAGCTTATACAAGACATTCATATACAGGGTGTCCCACGAAACATGACAGTTGGTGAATAGTTTAAAATGTCATCTTCCATAATTTGATAAGTTGTTTGATACTAACGAGATTAATAACATTTTTTTATATGACAGTTATATTATAAAAAAATTGATTTCACAGTAAAATACACATGAGTTAAACATTTTTATAACGAAATAAACTGCAAAAAGTCTTTAACATCTAATACAGTAAATGGAAGAAGACGTTCAAAACTATCATGTTTCGTGGGACATCCTGTATGTTGTATATAGCCGGCCAGCCCAGCCGTTCAGCCAGTTATAAATAAAATGAGAAAAATCAAACTGTTTTAATGTTTAAATTTTATATAGAATTATGTATGTATGTTATTAGGTGCTCTGCACTGCTCATTTTCACGCGTAAATAATGTTTCACACAAAGTTAAAATTCAAGGTTTGATCAAAATTCGAAAGTTTTGTTTTTTGAGAAAATAATAAAATCTTTAACTTTAAATTTAGCTTTAAAGCTTGATATTTCAGGGTTGTAACAAAGTTTTAAAACAATTGAATCCCTATGGTCTCCCTCTGGTTTAAGAGATAAATAGTTATTCTTTTTTGATTAAGTTCTGAAGCTTTTTTGTTTTGGTTTTACTTTAAGCACATAATGGAGTTTTTAGTTTAAAATTGTTTATTTATAATCTGTAAGCTATATAAATACTAATATTTAGTTTAAAATTGTTTATTTATAATCTGTAAGCTATATAAATACTAATATTTAGTTTAAAATTGTTTATTTATAATCTGTAAGCTATATAAATACTAATATTTAGTTTAAAATTGTTTATTTATAATCTGTAAGCTATATAAATACTAATATTTAGTTTAAAATTGTTTATTTATAATCTGTAAGCTATATAAATACTAATATTTAGTTTAAAATTGTTTATTTATAATCTGTAAGCTATATAAATACTAATATTTAGTTTAAAATTGTTTATTTATAATCTGTAAGCTATATAAATACTAATATTTAGTTTAAAATTGTTTATTTATAATCTGTAAGCTATATAAATACTAATATTTAGTTTAAAATTGTTTATTTATAATCTGTAAGCTATATAAATACTAATATTTAGTTTAAAATTGTTTATTTATAATCTGTAAGCTATATAAATACTAATATTTAGATACTAATACAATTACATTCACATTGTATATTGTACATTGTACATTGTACATGGTACATGGTACATGGTACCTGGTACATTTACATTGTACAGTGTACAGCGAGAACCAGATAATAGTGGAATTTATTAATTCGTCTTTTTTTTAATTAGCTTTTGTGTAAGGAGTTGAGTTTTTGCCACAAACTCCAATTTCTAACACCTATAACCCGATGTTCTAGACCTTTGGTTATTTCAAATTATGAATTTTATAATAATATAAGTTTGAAATTTTAAAGGATTACACCGCCAGGTTGTAAAGATAAAAGAAATATGAGATTGTGGCAACTCAGTTCATTAGCGATGAATAAAAAAAATTGAATAAAATTTTTTCAAATAAACACAAAGGCCTTTTGGTACGGTTGTAGGTGATTATATCAATATAATGAAGACGACTTTTTGCTTTCAGTTTTAATTGTTAAAAAGCTCTTTTCAAATTTCAAGTTTACAAGTAATTAAAGAGAAGCTTCTTTAATTCATTGCTTCTCTTTGTATGTTTTTGTATATCCTTGCTGTTAAAAAAGCTAAATGAAAATCGAAATTGAAAACGATAGTCGTCTTCGTTATATTGATATAATCGCCTACCGCCGTAGTTTTATTTTTATATATAGTTATTATTTAATTAACGGGGTGTGATCAAAAAGTTTTGCAAAAAAAATTAGGGGTACTACTAGAAGTCTCAGCCCTAAAACAGATCTTTGTAGTAATGTAAAGAGCGTTCTCCCGAAGTATATCAACTTTGTTCGTCACAGCAATAAAATTTTCAAAATGGTCTCAAACTTGATCCATCAAAGTCTGTTTAAGACTCTTTAAGAGCGATCAAAAGAAAAGAGAAATCAAGTATTTAAGGTATGAAGGACTTTTTTCTCATTTAAATTTAAAAAGATCCATAATCTATGTCATCATTTTGCTCCAATATCAGAGATTTTGGGACAAATTTTGCCCAGATCTTTGCCGTTTTCAAATGTTGCTTTTCAACTTAATTTACAATGTAGAATTAAAAGAAATTCAGCTTTAACCATGCATTAATATATATATATATACAGCAATTTTCAATGGGCATTTGTTTAAAAGCAACATCTAGAAGTTGAGGACTACAGGGTGTCCCAATAAACATGGGAATTCAGTGACGAATTCGATATCGTCTTTTTAAATAATTCTTTGATTTAGTATAGTGATACCTACTGAGAAAGCTGTAATCTGTAAAAGTTTAGTCTGCTATGTTCACATTTTGTTTGTTTATGTTTTGACTGCATACGGTTGTACTTAGTAAAACAAGAAAATTACAGTATACAAACAGAGTAAACTTGTCCGTCTTCACTGTTCATCTTGCGGAGACATTATAGACGCATCTTTACAGTCTTTTACCCTTTTCATAAAAAAACTCTAGAAGACGTAATAATGTTATCGCTTTTGAAATTAGGTATTACAATGCTAATTCATAACAAAGACGATATCCAATTCGTCACTGAATTCCCATGTTTTTTGGGACACCCTGTATAATATAGAATGTCCTATTTTTACCATTTTGATTAATTGTTTATTCAAAGGGTACATTGATATAGCTTGACTTGAATCCTGCTGTTGCTATGAGATTATATTTCATTGTTGGTCCACCCTTCACTAACCAACAATACATACCAGCAAATCCTTTAGCCATCCAAACCCAAGCCTGAACAGAACAATATATAAACCAATATAAAGTAGATTCATTGTCGTCTTTGCTTTCTCATTTCTCATGGCATGGTACATTCCAGTTCATTTCATGTACTGGGCCGAATTTAAACGAACCAAGGCAAGCAGTACAGTACAAACAGAGGCGTATTCAGGAATTTGTCCAGGGGGGGCTTAAATTTTTTTATCTTTCCAGGGGGGCTCGGCACCCAATGGGGTCTGAAATCAATAGATTTCACTGTTCACTGGTCTAGGGGGGGAGCTTAGTCCCCATAGCCCCCCCCCTGAATACGCCTCTAAGTACAAATACAGACTAAATGAGACAAAAAGGTATGCTACGCTAAATAAATAATCTCCTTCTAGTGAAATTTACATGATGGATACGTTTCGGGAGCTATAGAAGTGCTGGCCCCTTTATATAGATTACATACCAGTACAGATGCAAGGTTTATCATAGAGCAATACTTCCACTAAGTTATAATAATTCTAAATTTCATGTCGTAATTATATTTCTATTTGTTCTATGACCATTTTCCCTTTAAACTATTTGCGCTATGTTTTATTTAGATTTGATCAAGGAGAATTAAATAGAAGGAGGGGGGATAGGGTTTCATTGCACTTTGCTGTGACGTTTTTGGACAGCCAATCTAATGTAAACAAACATGAGTTAGTATACGGTGAATCTTTATCAAACGCCAGAGATGCACCAGATGTCTGTTTATCATTTGTGTTATTGTTTACAATCTTTATTATTGTTGTTACACTAAAACTAGTTTTATAGCATACCTACTAGCCACAAACACAATGAGATCCCTCTCACAACCCTTAAACTGTATCTTATACTTTCCCAAAAATAAACAAATATATATATAACCCTGTACTGCCGGATATGACGTATGTACCACTATCACCCAACCTCTCCCGTGTACCACATGTACTCCTTGCATTTCTCTTTTTGACGTCTCCACAATAGGACCTTTCTATTAGCAGGCGTCAATTCTCTACCCTCATTCTGTGGTCCTCAGGTAATTAATTATTTGTTGCTTTCCTTTCAGTATTAGGAGCAAGATGCTAAATACTGTTTTTTTTTATATTAGAGAAAAGTAAAAGAGCGAGATGCTAATTTACTGAGTTTTAAAAGTATTAGTGCAAGATGCTAATACTTATGTTAATATGTTAATAATTGTTTCAGTAACAGGAGCGAGATGCTAGTTACTAAGATATTTGTTGGCTATGTTCTTAACAGAGGTCAACTAAGAATTAAAGAGTATAACTTCAGTTACTCTGCTGGTATTCTAGAGCATGATGCTATGATTTTGTATATTTTTATTATTGCCGGTCAAGAATTAATTTTTTTAGCTTAATACTAAAGTCAGATTCTCCCTTAATTAAACTGTTCTCTGCCTATAACTGAAATTATTATTTAGCATGGTGCCAGAGCGTGGAGACAAGGGCTCTAAGAGTACTCCGAAGCATACCTTACTGCAGTCTAACTTGAAACCTTTAAGTGACAACCTTCAAGGATTGACGCAGAAAGTTTCTAGTCTTGAAGCTGCTCAAAATGATTTACAAGCTCAATTCCAAGCTCAGAGACAACATACCTCTCCTGTTAAATCCTCTGATCCTACTCCTCTATCTTACATATCAGTTTCTTTTGAGGTTGGGTCTGATAATGACCCTGAATTTGTGGAACAAGAGGATGAGGATGAGAAGATTGAAGATATCAATCCGTATCAAGATAATTCTCCATTAGATTGGATCTTTGAGAGTAATTCACGTCAATTTTGGGTTCCGGAGCAGAAACATATCGATTTATGGAATTCTGCAAGGAACATGGATCCAACAACAACCATAAAGAGGATTGGTCTAAACCACAGCGGTCAAGGTTAGAAAGTTTTTAACTTCACATCCTTCAGCTGAACCATTTCTGGGTCCATCCCCTGATGATGATGTTCCAGATCTTAGATACAACAACAAGAAGCTCCTGGAGAAGCAACTATCCACTCTCTAGAGCTGCGCTGACAGATTTGCTGTCCTCTACTGAACTAGTTATAGAAAATCTGCAGAAAACTGCTGCAGACTACAGTAATCCAGAGGTTCAGGTTGCAAGATCCAAGGGAAGAAGCTGCGGAAATATTTTCCACTCTTGCTGCAGAGTTCAAAGATACATATGTTAAGAAAGCAATTAATGCTTTAAGACTACTGGGTGATGGACACAATAAGGTTACGAGTCTACGTAGATCTCAATATGTGGATAATGTGACCTCTGGATCTGAAGCCTGGAACATGGTTCGACAGCTGCAACCATCCAAGCAATTCTTGTTTGGTGGGGATATTCAGAAGGTTTGTAAGTCTTTGAAAGATGGAAACCAGTTGTCCACTGTTCTTCAAAGGAAGCCTAGTTTTGGATTCAAGGGACCAAAGAAGGATTTTAAGGGAACCAAAGGAGGAAGAGTAGATAGATTTCGGAGCAAGAACCCAAACTCCAAGTTTCAAAGGAATTTTCTTTCAAAGTACTAGTGTTATTATTGAATGTATTAATATATAAACCTTGTTCAATAAATGTGTTTTTTTTTCTTTCGTTTAGATATGCCTCCTGGTCTGAGTAGTTCTGCTGCTTCCTGGGAGCAGCTTAGAGCTAGTCCAGAGATAATTAAACTTGTTAAATAAAGACATGAAATTAAGTTTGACATCAAACCTTGTTTAACTCGTCCTAAGATTGAATATGCTACAATATTGTCTCCTAACAAGATGGATGTAGTTCGCAATGAAATTTCTAGTCTTCTTTCTAAGAATGCAATCAAGATAGTCCCTGAGCATATTGCTAATAAGAAGTTAGGGGTTTATAGTAAACTTTTTTGTGTCCCTAAACCTGGAGTTAACAATTGGCGTCCACTGATTAATTTGAAACCTTTGAACAAATTTATCAAGAAAGAGAACTTTAAGATGGAAACCCTGAAAGATGTTAGAGCCACTTTAAAACCCGGAGATTTTGGAGCCACTGTAGATTTGACAGACGCTTATTTTCATGTTAAAATTCACAAGAAAAGTCGAAAATATCTTCGATTTATTTTTGAGTAAGTTCTTAACAATTTGGGTGATTATTTAAATTGATAAATTGCATAGCTTTAGATTGTTTTCTTTGTAGGGGAGTAATTTACGAGTTCATTTTTCTACCTTTTGGACTTACATGCTTGCCTCGTATCTTTACTCAAGTGACAAGATTTGTTGCAGCAGAATTTAGAAAGCTTGGAGCTATTTCTATTTTCTACCTTGAGGAGTAAGTATATTTTAAATTTATTAAATCAACATGTCTACATAATTAACAGATAATGTTTTAGTATCCTGGTTCTTGCATCTTCTAAGACGGTGTGGCGTTATTTCTGGGTAAGCGTTAAATAATGGTAGAAGACTCTACATAGCAAATTTTTCGCGGCATTCTCACACAATTCTGTAAATTTAAACAGTAAATTAAGTGAAAGTATTTCTCATATTTGAGAATCAATCAAGTTTTGCTGAGCGACAAACAGTAAAAATTAATTGTTTTAACATTAGGGATCGATACTACAGCTTAGTTTACATAAGTTAATTCTTAAGATTCTGATACTTGCAACTGATGAGAGTTTAATGTATAGTTAATTTTCTGTACTTACATTATATATCAGCATATAGTGTATATTTTAAGTGTATAAATATAATTTCTAATTATGAAATTTCAGATAAATACCAGATTTTTGTAAAAATATGCGCGGATGCCGCGGAAAATTTGCTGCGTAGAATCTACTACCATTATTTAATGTTTACCCAGAAATAACGCCACAACGGACCTAAGGAGTAAGGTTGGAGTTCTTCTGCAGCTCCTGCAGAAATTGGGGTTTTGCATTAACCTTAATAAATCAAATTTGGAGCCAACCCAATGTTTTGAATATTTGGGGGTTTGCTGGGATACAGACAAATGGATGTGGTTCCCAAGAGACAGGAAAAGATTAAAGAATCTGCTCTAGAGTTACTTCACTCTCCAATAACTACATGTCGTCAGGTATCCAGGTTCATTGGGAGAGTTCAATCGGCTGATGGAATTTTTCCTCTCGCCAAGGGAAGAACAAGATTCATTCAATGGGATTTTCTCTCCGCCTGCAGAGACGTTTCTCAGTTTGACGAGCTCATGTGCCTTTCTCAGGGTTCATTAGACGAATTGAAAGTGTGGTCTAGTACTGATTTATCTGAAGGATTACCAATTACAATTCCATCTGCTGCATCTTCTCTCTACACTGATGCTTCAGATTTTGGTATAGGAATTTATTTCCAAGGTGAAATGATAAGTGAGAACCTTCCATCTTGGTGTAGGAACGCTCATATAAATATCAAGGAACTATATGCAGTGGATAGAGCTGTTGAACTTTTAAGTGAGAAACTTACTGGGAGTGTAGTGATGGTAAGGATAGATAACAATACTGCTCTAGCTGCAATTAAGAAGCAAGGTTCTACTGGGAACTCGGAAATATCCCAATTAGCAGTTAGTATTCTTTAGAGATGTTACCTTCAACAGATAACTCTGGTGCCTATAAGAATTTCTTCAGCAGAAAATTTACTAGCAGACAGTGCCAGCAGATGAAAAGAAATGGCAGACTGGAAACTCCACCCAGCCATAATCAGGAAAGTGTTCCAGCGTCTGGGAACTCCATATATAGACCTATTTGCAACATGCAACTGAGCTCAAGTTCCAGGATACTACACCTGGAACCTAGGGGACCAGTATGCACAAGGAGTGGATGCCCTAGCTCCGGATTTAAACTGGAGTCAGCACAGCCTTCCATATGCCAGGAGCTGAGCGAGAGTATGTCTATCAGTGGAGGAAATGGCACAGCTACTGTAGGAATCATGCCATTTGACGGTGGTGTATTTTTCGACCTACGCATATCCTCTATATTACACTTCTGACCTACTTGCACGTGGTTTTCCAGCTGCTTTTTAGCTGCTGTAGGTCTGTTAAACTATAGGTCAGTTGCACCTTAATTCAAAAAACTTTTGTTTGATCAAACCTACTGTAGGTCGGATGTACAATTATTTGTAGGTCGGATAGTCATCGATTGTAGGTCAGATTTACACTTAAGTAGGTCGGATACATATGCATTTGTAGGTCGGATGGTCATCAATTGTAGGTCGGATTTACACTTTAGTAGGTCGGATATATGCATTTGTAGGTCGGATGCACACATTTGTAGGTCGGATGGTCATCGGTTGTAGGTCGGATTTACACTTTTGTAGGTCGGATATATGCATTTGTAGGTCGGATGGTCATCCATTGTAGGTCGGATTTACACTTTAGTAGGTCGGATATATGCATTTGTAGGTCAGATGCACACATTTGTAGGTCGGATGGTCATCGGTTGTAGGTCGGATTTACACTTTGTAGGTCGGATATATGCATTTGTAGGTCGGATGTACACATTTGTAGGTCGGATGTACCTACAAAAAGTGTACAGATCCGACCTACAAAAAGAGCATATCCGACCTACAAATAGATATGTACATCTGACCTCGCTCCATGCACATGACTATAAACTCAATCATGCCTGTAGGTCGGATTAAAAAAATAAAATGTGTAACCGACCTACAGCTGTCGTAGGTCGGATATAGCAATAGGTCAGAAAGTTAGTAGGTCGGAAGTTCAGTATAGAGGATGTTGCGTATAGACGATGCAACATTACCCATTTGACCTCTTACCCCTGCTATAGAAGATGTAGTTAATTTTTTAACCTTTCTGTTTAAAAAAGGTTTACAATATAGTACTATTAATACTGCAAGATTCGCTTTATCTAGTACCTTGCCTCCTGTTGGTGGTTTACCAGTTGGACAACATTATTTAGTTTGTAGACTTATGAGGGGGATTTTTGTAAAAAAACCTAAGATTGTGGCCATGTTCCCTGATTGGTCAATTGGTAAAGTATTGGAAACCATCAAGTCCTGTGGACCTAACCATTTGCTAGACCTGAAACTTTTGTCATACAAGACTGTATTTCTACTGGCTTTATGCTGCTCGAAGCGTCCTAGTTAGATCTCTTTATTCTCTGTTGATCCTGCCGCATTTCAATGCAATGATGATTTCTTAAGATTAGTCCCGGTGGGCTTGGAAAAACATACAAGACCTTGTTATTCACAGAAACCTGTCATTATTCATACTTTCACAGAAAACTTGCTCCTTGATCCAGTTAAAACTATACAGAGTTATGTTCGCCGTACTCAGTCTATCAGACAATCCAACTCCCTATTTGTCAAACACACCTCTCCTCATGACAAAGTAGCTACAGTTACTATATCTAGATGGATAAGCTCAGTTAACAGGCTGAGTGGTTAGGCTGGTTCTGGTGGTTCGACTAGATCTACCTCATCTTTGACCGCCTTCTCAAAAGGAATGTATTTAGATGCTGTATTAGAAGCTGGTAATTGGTCCAGAGCTTTTACGTTTCAGAGATTTTATTATAAACAATGTAATGAGTCTACTCTTTCTGATATTGTTCGAAACTCATAATATAAAAAAAAAATATGAATGAATTTATATGTTATTTAATAAACAATTGTTTGAGACCATAAATTCTATTTTAACCATTTGGTTGCTCTACAGTCTCATTGTGTTTGTGGCTGGTAGGTATGCTATAAAATTGATATTTTGATTCGTGAAAATATAATTTTATTAATACCTACCAGCCACAAACTTTTATTTCCCACCTTTCCTCCCCTATCTCCTCCATAGCGACCAACATGGTTTGCGGGGACATCAAGACATGGTGCAAGGAGTACATGTGGTACACGGGAGAGGTTGGGTGATAGTGGTACATAAGTCATATCCGGCAGTGCAGGGTTATATTTATATACATGTTTATTTTTGGGAAAGTATAAGATACAGTTTGAGGGTTGTGAGAGGGATCTCATTGTGTTTGTGGCTGGTAGGTATTAATAAAATTATATTTTCACGGATCAAAATATCAATTCTTCAGCAGTCCAAAAACGTCACAGCAAAGTGTATGGAAACCCTATCGCCCCCTGTCACGTTAAATAAGGCCCGGGCGTTATATTTGGTCCGGGTGAGTGTTACATGTGAAATCCATGTACAAAATTGATAGAACGGAGGGGGGGGGGTCCAAAAATTGTTTACTTTGACGGACCCAAAGCATGCACATTATCATTGTTATTTAAATTGTTACAATTTTTTGTTTAGTAGGCCATAAAATTAAAAATTAGAAGCTCTTTTGCAGACTAAATGTTAAATGTGTTTGTTTTATATACTATATCGTTTTTGCTTAGGTCGTCTTTGTATTGCACCCGGGCCAAATATTACCCTGGTCTGGATGTAACGCTACACCCCTCCTTCTATTCATTTCTCCTTGGATTTGATAAATATAATAATATTTAACCCTGTCAGATGTATGTGCTGAGTGCGTATTGGCCTGTACAGTGTACTTTGAAAGGAAATGAGCCATTGCAATATACTTGGATTTTGTAATCCCCAAGGAGAATTGAATAGAAGGAGGGGGTTGATTGGGTTTCCGTACACTTTGCTGTGACGTGGACTGCTGAAGGACTAGTTTTTGCGCAACAACAATAACAAAGGCAGCTGATCTAATGTAACCAAACATGAGTTAGTATATGGTGAATCTTCATCAAATGCCAGAGATGCACCAGATGTCTGGTTATCATTTGTGTTATTGTTTACAATCTTTATTATTGTTGTTACGCAAAAACTAGTTCTTCAGCAGTCCAAAAAAGTCACAGCAAAGTGTACGGAAACCAAATCGCCCCCTCCATCTATTCAATTCTCCTTGGTAATCCCTATATCATGCACTGCAACTCAATGTTGTAATTTGTAAACTATGAAATATGTTTGTTAAAGAAGTCTAATTTTGAAATTTCTAAAGTTTGCACCATCGGGTTGGAAAGATATATGGGGATTAGAAAATGTGAGTTTTTTTTTACAAAAACTTCTTTGATTTTAAGGTTTGAGTATGAATTATATAAACACCTGGCATTCGGTCTCATCTTCACAAGTTTGCTGACAACCATCAACAGTAGGGCTGCTAAAGTCTTTGTAACTTGCAGGGTTCATGTCAGCAGACAACTTGGAAAAATAATTACTCAGTAAATCATTGTATTAACTCGTACTGGTAAAATTTAATACAGTGTTTGTTGCAAAGACTCAATTCCTTTATTGATTTTTGGGTAATTAGTGCTTTATAGGGGCTTGCGAGTTATGAGTTGTTCTAGAATAGGAGATATTGATATTTTGAATAATATGAGTAGGGCACAGACAAGACAAGACTATTAACACATTCAATTTGTTCTTCAATCCACTAAAAGTGCATATAAGATTCTGAACATTATGCTTAGAAGCTTTATCTGCAGACCAAGAATGAAAGAGTTAACTTTGCTGCTCTGTCAAGGTTTGACAATAGATTAATAAAAATACAGATAGAACATAAGATGTCGTCTTTGCAAGATTTAAGGGCTTTTCATTCACACTAATCTTTAGACAAAATCCCAAATGAGTTTAGTGCAGGCAGTGTTGAATTACATGACAGAGAGAGGTCATGTGCGTAACTCCTTTGGGCCTCTACCTTACGGTTATTGTGAATAAAACCGCTAAATTTGAAATTACTTCATGTAGTGTTCTATCTGTATTGCTATTCATCTAAGGGGTTGATAATGCAAGCTCTTTATAGAAATTTCAATATGTAACAATCAAAATAAAGTATATTTATTGATCGACTATAAACAAATTAATTTGATGTTGATTTGGCAGCCATCCAACTTTAACTGCAAACTTTGATTTCAAAATTAAAAGTTCCCCATCTCAGTTTCTACACATGTGGGTGAAGTAATTAAATTTTGCTCTGCACAGACAAAATTCAAATCTCCTGTTTTAAACCAGCCTGGTAAATCTTGCCTTGACAAAAATGTACACACAATTCGCAGAGCAGTTTTTCTCTTTTTTACACGATAATGAATGAGTAATTTTGTGAATTTATATTGCTCATTTTCTTATAATCAAATTACCATTTTTTAAAACTCTAGGTGAGTTGTAATCAAAACAAGATGTCACTAATGTAAAATGTTAAAAGAAGGCGAAATATAACTAAAGACCTACATGTTGATTACCTAGTGCATGTAGTACTATTGATTGTTAGAAAACCTCTGGTTCCAGTTGTAACACCTACATATGGAGACTCTACATTCGTCTAATTTGTCATCTATTGATCAAAGTGAGGATAAAGTAGAACATCAAAAGTGTCCACAGTGGATATTGTGATATAGCGAACAGGATTAAGGGTATACATCACAAGAGTTTCTAGTTCAGAGTTGAGAACTCTTGTATTGTGGATATCAAGATCAATCCTTTGTTAATCTGCAGATTGATATATCCCGCAGTGTAATTTTTCCCTTACAAGAATAACAGAAATTAATATATTATGCAGTGTTAATCAATTTCAAGGGATCCAACACTAAAATTTCAAGCTCTGGGTAATCAAAGCTCTTCCCTTGATTTGGTATGTGCGGGTCATGATACCAAACAAGAACTAAATTATTTTTGTTTTGACTCTAACCCTCCGGTTTTAGAAAAAATAACAAGATTAGTAACATATCTGCGATCCTTATTGGCAAAAATCGTTTTCTTGTATTATTGATAAATTTCCTATTGACAGTTTTGAATCTCCACTGGCAAAGGAATAGGTTCAGCCGGTCCAAAATTAATTCAAATAGATCAATGGATTTCCTGACAACAACTTTTTCCTCCAAGAAAAGGGAAAGGATGGGTCACAGGGCAAAGTTTAGTTGGTGCAACGTTTACTCCAGCAACATTTGCTCCAGTAACGTTTACACCATCAACGTTTGCTCCAGTAATGTTAACGCCATTGCCGTTTACTCCTGCAGTGTTTACTTCATCAATGTTTACTCCTGTAACATTTACGCCATCGCTGTTTACTCCATCCACATTTACTCCTTCAATGTTTACTCTATCAACCTGTAAATATAGCAGTTCCATGGATGCACTGTATGTAGTTTCAATATCAACATTAAAAAGCCTTTAAACATATCTACACTACTGCCCCTTAATAGAATATAAAAACTGCATTTTTGTACTTTCCTGTGATGATACTTGAAGTTTTACTTTCACTAAGAAATAAATGATGATGGTATTTGCCCTTGATTTTATCTTACTACCCCACAATTTCATTTTCATTAAGCCCTGGGTTTAAAACTTTGAAAACTTTACTATCTAAGTTGCAGCTTTAGTTTTTAAGGGGGATACAACTAAAACCCTGATAGATTTCAAAATTAATTTCAAATCAAATTAAAGTACAGTGAGTACATGGGTGTAAACAGGATGCAGTGGTGATATTTCTTAAACTCACAAAACCTCTTATATACTGTCATTATACGAGGCTTTATAAATGTGTGCAATAGCCCCCATTCATCATCATTTATTCCTAGTGGTGAAGTATTTGGGGTTAAATTATCCACAAAAGCCATCTCACACGTTCCATCATCCCTTAAACAATTTTTTTTTTCAAGTATAAGGATAGGGTAGGGTTTACATATTTTAATGAAAGCTTTATTATTAAAAAAATTATGGGTGGTTTTTTTCTCATAAATAAACTAACATGCTGGCTCCATTATGACTTTGTAATTGTAATAAGTTTTAAAAAAAAGAAGGTTGGAAAAAATAAGTTAGTGTGTTCTAGTGGAAGTTTTTTTATATACTCCTAAAAATTTTCCCCCAAATCATCATGCTTTAAACAAATATGAAACTATTGTCATGCTCTGAAACTTTGAAATTTAAAATATTGCAATTAGGTTCAAATATATAGTTCTGCAAGAATGTTAATAAAACCATACAATATTTAAACCAATAGAAAGCACTGTTTTTAAAATCACTTTAACAACAACCAAATATTTGGTTCACAAATGTAAAAAGGAAAGTCAGAATTTTTAAATAAAATTTGTTAATAAAAATGTTCATGCTAGAAATGTAAAATATCTATTATCAAATATATAAATAAATAAAAATATTTTGACTTAAACTAATCATCTTTAAGCCGACATTTAAAAAAAAATTGGCCTGATCAGTTTTTTGTCATTTTTAAATGTTTTTTTTTATTTAAGACTGGTTAAGTGACAGGGTGAAATACATTCCAGTAGTAAAGGATGTGACCGGCTATGTATGGTACTTGAACTGAGTATGCAATATTGTGGACAAATTCTTTAGGATTCACTTGAGTCATATAAAACGTTTCTACAATAGCCGGTCACTCCCTTTAATAACTAAACTATGATAGTTAAAATTGCATTTACATTTATTAATAAACTTGCATATTATGGCATGGGATTGGGAATATATCAGCCAATTGCATTTACATTTATTAACAAACTTGCATATTATGGCATGGGATTGGGAATATATCAATTGCATTTACATTTATTAACAAACTTGCATATTATGGCATGGGATTGGGAATATGCCAATTGGAAACAATGTTTTCAAATTACTAACGTTACGTACTATAAACTGAAAGTTTATAATATTAATAATTCAGCAATTTCAAATGCGGAAACAGGGGGGGGGGATTGGGAAGTGGGGGTACATCCGCGCCCCCTGACGTAATTTATTTTTTTTTGGTGGGGAGACGCCCCCCCTTAAGATTTGAGGCAAAAAATGTTCCCAATTTAATAAAAAAAATGTTCTTAATTTCAATATTGTATGTGCCCCTTTTTCAAGTTATTTGAAGGAATTATGATATTAAATACAAAAACAAAAAACTTGGTATATCAAATCATAGATAAGAAGATACGTACTTAAAATTAGGAACAAAAACATGTAAGTTAAAAATTTAGGATTTTATGAGCAAAGTTTTCAAAAAAAGAGACACTTTCCATGCACAAGACGCTTTAAATCGACTATTTCTGAAATTTTAAATTCACAAAAGACTTGAGACAATCAACTTGAATCTTGACTTTTATCCCGAACCCCTAAATACAAATTGTCTCGCGTTAATTATCCAAATCTTAAAACAAAGTGAAAACTACTCTAAAAACATTATAATACTTGTAAAGGAAGGCTGTGTAGGATGATTCCAAATTTACAGCAGCTGCACACTGAAATAATATTCATTAAAGGAACTGTAGACGTGACCCTACATTTCAAAATGACATGTCTGAATCACAACGATACCCTTTATATCTCTATTAACAATGAGGAAGATATCGTTGTTTATTAGAATTATTCCACAAATCACTTATATATATACACCTGTAATTGAAAATACAAATTTCTGTCATTCATCTACAAACAAAGTTGTAAAGAACCATGAGGCAAACTTAAAGCTAACCGACAGTTGAAACAAAAAAATATTTTTTTCTGGTAAAGGAGGGCTTTTAACTGTTATTTTGATAATGATAAAAATATTACCGCAATATTAGATCTAAACTTCCTAGTAATGGCTGCTGTATTCCAGAATTCCAAACTTACTTCCCTGCTTTCAAAACTGAAGGAACGAAACTCTCCAAAACACTAAAGAAAAATGATTTTTTTTCCAGCAAAATTTTTTTTTTTTTTCACAATTAAAGTTTCTATACAGCTTGCAAACATAGACCCAAGGTCAAAACATTGGATGAGAATGCCCTAATCTTCGTTGCATGATCTCTATGTTCACTGCGATAACTTTTGAATTTAAAGGATAACTGCTAATCCATAGAATTTCATCTCAAAAAGTTTTGGCTTCTGATCAAATTGGTATTGCCTACTGCCTAGGATTGGAATTAAATGTGAATTTTAAAAACCTTTTTAAAATTCCGTCAGTTATTAGTTTACATACTGAAATCAATTTTCAATTTTCAATTTTTTAAATATTTACAATCAATATATTTATTTGACAAAGACATAAATAGATTTACAGTTTCAGGGATTCATGACTGTGAGAAAACAGACGTGAGAAATTATGTACTGTCGTCTCTGACTTAAAATGAAATATAATCAAATAAAAAAAATTACTCCTGTGATAAGAAAGAGAAGAAGTAGAGACCCAAATGTCACCAGGTTATCCATCTGGAATTACAATTATTCCGTCATTTATAATTTTTCTAATTGTTTATATTCAATACGCATCAACCAATCAGGCCCTAGTCATAGAGAAAAGGATTATGTACGGTCAGAATGTTGGAAATCTACCAATATGAAAACAGGAAAATCTTTCAAATTCTAAATTCTTATTTTTTATTAATTTACGTAAAAAATGATTGCAATGTAAAGAAGTAATAAAAAGTACAAAGACCCTATTTAACATATACAGGGTGTCCCAATAAACATGGGAATTCAGTGACGAATTCGATATCGTCTTTTCAAATAATTCTTTGATTTAGTATAGTGATACCTACTGAGAAAGCTGTAATCTGTTAGAGTTTCGTCTGCTATGAGTACATTTTGTTTGTTTATGTTTTGACTGCATAAGGGTGTACTTAGTAAAACAAGAAAATTGCAGTATACAAACAGAGTAAACTTGTATGTCTTCACTGTTCATCTTGCGGAGACATTATAGACACATCTTTTCAGTCTTTTACCCTTTTCATTAAATAAACTCTAGCAGACATAATAATATTATGGCTTTTGAAATTAGGTATTACAGTTCTAATTCATAACAAAGACGATATCCAATTCGTCACTGAATTCCCATGTTTCTTGGGACACCCTGTATCATATTATTAATTGAAACTGTGTTTCAATGAAATACTTAACATGATTAGCTTAAATCATAACCATAAATAGACAACTATAATTGTTATTGGCAGCTAAAGATTTAAAACTTTGTATTGAATAATTGTTATTGGTAGTTAACAAGGAGCACGAAATAGGAGGGAGATATAACTGACGCGGCCCGCCCTACCATATGATCATACATGCTTTGCAGACGGGACTCCATTTGTATAAGAAATATTTAGAATAGGTTATTGTATAATGTACATTAGACAAATATTTCTTATTCAAATAAACTACCTTCTGCAAAGCATGTATAATCATATGGTAGGGCGGGCTGCGTCAGTTGTATCTCCCTTCTATTCTATACTCCTTGGTAGTTAAAGATTTAATAAATTCTCTGAGTTGATGGTTGAGCAACTGGCGCTTGAACTCTTATTTGCCATTTGAATCATTAAAACATTTATAAAACAGGGTTCCCTCTGAACTACTTTTTTCGGGGTAAAAAACTAAATTTATTATTTAAAATTTTTTTATTTTTTTGTAAATTCTAACTTTTTGTTATTAAAAAAATTTAAAATAAATTATGACATTTATACTTTATTATTTTTGGGTTTTTACAACATTGCAAGCATATTTTATTAAATCCGATTAATTATTAATAGTCTTTACGTTTAATAAGCTATAATTTTTTGCAAGGTTACATCATGTTACCAGCTAACTATTGATTAAAAATTATTAATATATCCATGTACCCGTAAATGTTAAATTCAAATACATCGGAAGAATTTATAAAGTGTCTTTTTGTTAATGGAATGCTGCAGATATTTAGTTTTTTTAATTAAATAATTATATGGAGCTCTTTCAAACTGTTCCAGCATATTCATTGCTTTTTTTCTATTTTTGAGAGTTTTTCATAATAGTATAAAACCCCTTGAAATATTGTCAAGACGACATTTAATAAATTATTTTGATCTCAAAATCGCTGGGGTAAACTTAAATCTTCAACCCCGGTGTTTTTTTCACCATAACTCAAAACCGGCTTACTCTTTGTCTAGAACGCTCAAAATGGATGTAAAAACAGTTTTACATGTTGATTTTGTCAAAAATATTCTTTAACCCACCATAGCTTTGATACATCTATTTTTTCTTAACTAGCTGAGGTGCCTTGCGTTGCCCGTGGAATGAAAAAAAAACTAATTTTAAAAAATAGTTTTTTAAGCCTATACAGACGCTATACCTTTGCAATCTGATGGCGTATGACTTCTGCATAGATAAAACAGCCAAAGTTTTAAATATCAAAGATTTATACCATCAGGTTGCAAAGGTATAGGCATTACTGAAGACTTGCTTTTTCGCTTTTAAAATTACATCAAAAGTTCTAAATTTCAAATATTTATCTTAAAACATTTATCATATTTGAAAAGCCAATGACTTCTGCAAATTTTTGCAAAACTAAATTTGTCAGAGCTGAAAACTTTAGAATGATGGATATATATTAATGCAATAACTCCTGGTTTTACTAAATCTGAGATTATTTTAACACGCATTCGATATCCAAGAAAGAAGTATAAAATTCAACCAATCAACATATCATGTTAAGATGTACTCTTTAACTTTTGAAAAACCGGTTTTTTTCTGGTGTTAATTGTGTCATATTAATTGAACTAAACAACAATTAAATAAATTAAGTTTTGGATTAATGTTTATTAAGACTAACGTTTAAAATGATGATAGTCCTATGATGTGATAAAATATATTTTTTAATAAGTTCATATTAACATGATTAAATTTAAAGTTGCTTAAATGCACTAAAAGCCGGCGTGAACAGCTGATTTTAATTCAATCGGATATTAGTTCAATCAATCGTATCTGTAATTGTTATCAAACGTAACTTTTATACAACAGAGGTATCCAAAAAGAGGAATAAGAATAAAATCAAAAGTGTATCCATTGAATACTCAGATTAAACGATCAGAGCTGAAAACTTTAGAATGAAATATCCAGAGAAGCTCCTAAAGTCTTGATATCCAGATTAAATATTGCTTGTTCTCCACATGAATTTAAACTCCAGATTAATTATTCGACGGGATACCTGGATATTTCATTCTAAAGTTTTCAGCTCAGGATAATTGATATCTCATTCTAAAGTTTTCAGCTCAGGTGATTTAATTGTCATGATTTTTTGAGACACTTTTAAAGATTTTTATTTATTTATTCATTTATTTATTTATATCGAATATCTATGTGAATCTACAATATTTTCAACAACTTGTATCACACCATTGGTGGCAGGGATATCCATATTTATTACGCCCGAACCTTCCAACTTCATACGATCTGAAAAATATTGAATTTCAAAAATTAGTAAACAAGAATAATTTTTTAAGCAGTAACAACTGTTTTGTGCTTAAAAAACAGTACAGTACGTGTACAGTACAATACAATAGAGTAGAGTAGAATAGAGAAGAGTACAGTACAGTGCAGTACAGTACAGTACAGTACAGTACAATACAGTTCTGTACAGTACAGTACACTACAGTACAGTACAATACAGTACACTACAGTACACTAAAGTACAGTACAGTACAGTACAGTACATCAGTACAGTACATCAGTACAGTACAGTACACTACAGTACAGTACAGTACAGTACACTACAGTACAGTACAGTACATTACATCAGTACAGTACAGTACAAATTACATCAGTGCAGTACAGTGCAGGTCAGTGCAGTACAATACCGTACAGTACAGTACATGTATGTTGTTGTATAGTACAGGACAGGACAGTTCAGCACTGCAGTACAGTACATATTTGACCTGGTCTGCTGTATAGATTAAGTTGGTTCCCGTTTGCCATTGTTATCACTTGATGAGACTTTAATCCAGCGCTGTAAATAGTCCTAAACAAAAATTTAGGAACAAAATAAACTAATGAACTGTTCCATAAAATGCAAATTAAAATGGTGTAAGGGAGTAAGACATTTCTTACATTTCTGGCACTAAAGTAGTCCTGCAAAAAAGACATGGTAATGTGCACTACAAATTATTTTGAAGGAAATGAAGTCATGCCTTTTATTTCTTGTTATCCATACAAGTCATAGGAAAAAGTAATTTTCAATTGAACAGCCCACTGAAAACGGTCAATTGTGTTCACAAATAAACTTTAAATAATTGGAGATTTTTCCGGAAACAAGTCATTTAAAAAAAATAAGTGCGACTTTATTTCCCATGACTTTTTTTCAAAGAACTTAAGTAAATTTTGGAATTTAAGTACTTTTTTCCATGACTTTCTTAAATGGATTCTATAAAGGCTCATTTCTAAAAACCTCATAGTTTATAGGATTATGTATAAAATCATTTTTATAATACTGAACAAACAATGTTCTCCACAAAGATGAGGCTTAAATGATGACCTGGAACTTTCTAAAGGTTGAAATTAGTTTTTTAAAATTCTTATTCTGTGTAGGTATAGGTATAACCTTATACCTAAAATTTGCGTGTTAAAGGCAGGGCTTCCCTTTTTGTCTTACATACTTATTAATGATATGATTGAGAACGAGCTTGAAGAGCTTCTTGGGATTGGTGATCAGTTCCTCCAGCTCCTTCATCGACATGTTCATGAAGGCTGCGTTGGTCGGGGCAAATATTGTCCAAGGTCCAGCTGAGCAAAAAATATAAGGTTAGATGTTGGAAATTCTTTTAGCCAATTAGCCAAACTGAACGATTAAAAAAATTGTCACAATTCGCAATTTCAAGTGACGCTAAAAATTTTTACACGTTGAACACTGGTACCCTGGAAAACTACAGAAAACTTCTTCCTTCAAATGTGAAAGTATTCAAATTCCTGAAGTAATACAAATATAACATTATTTATGACTGATAAATAAAGAAGAAATTTATTCAGGAATTAGATTAAACAAATTCCCATCATCATATTACAAATTTGCTCATTTACAATCTTTAAAGCAAAAACAATCTAAATTGGGACTGGATCTATGTAATTTCAAGTGACCCTCAAGTAACGTACTTTTGAAGAGAAACTTTAATAGAAAATAATCAGTTTTCAAAATTATAAACTTGAATATCAAATTTATACTTGGTCAGATGTTGTGAATCTATAAATAGAGACCCTTAAAACTGAAACATAATTTCTTTGAATAGTAAATTTTTTTATTAGAAATTAATTATGAAATTCTTACTATTGTAATCTGTAATTTCTTTGTCAAGTCTTGTCGCCTGAAGAGCTTTTACAAATGTTGTAAACCGGTTTTCTGGGTCTAACTGTAAACAAAAATAAATAACCGGTTTTCTTGGTCCAACTGTAAACAATAATAAATAAACCGGTTTTCTGGGTTTAACTGTAAACAATAATAAATAAACCGGTTTTCTGAGTCTAACTGTAAACAATAATAAATAACCGGTTTTCTGGGTCTAGCTGTAAACAATAATAAATAAACAGGTTTTCTGGGTCCAGTGTAAACAATAACAAAAAACCGGTTTTTAGGTCTGACTGTAAACAAAAATAAATAAACCGGTTTCCTGGATCCCACTGTAAACAACAATAAATAAACCGGTTTTCTAAATCCAATTATCAGTAAACTTTCTATATAATAAAACAAGAGATTCATATATAGTTCCCTATAGCCAGCCAAACGGCTGAACCGAATGGGCTAACATTTTTTGTGGACACTCATGGGTGGCCGGGGAGTATTATGGCTAAAATAAATCGACTTTTTTTCAAAAAAAAATTTCTGTAAATCTTTTTTTTTCAAATTTTTTTTTTAGACTGGCAATGCCGGGCCCTTCAGATAGTAGTTAATAAAAAAAAAATTAAAATTGGTTTCATGGTTCCGATTTAAATATAAATGCTTTCTAAGATAAAAAAAATGAAAAGATGTATTTAAAACTAAAGTGTTTTTTTTACAATTTCTAAATTAAATTTTTAAAAGGAAATGAAAACCTCTTAAAAAATTGTTCTCAATTAATCTACCCAAGTAACAAAAGTGAAGAATTTCCCCAGATTCTCCAACCGTGGTGACTTTCTTTAAGGAATTTCCGAGGAATTTCTCGAGATTCATTTCCTGTAACTGATTCCACGGAAATTCTCGAGAAATTCCCTAGAATTGGTCCCCAAGATGAGAGATTTTTGTGGGATAAGTTTTGAGACTCAGTTTCGAGAAATTCCTGAGAAATTCTCAGGAATTTTTCCCCACGAAATTCCTCAGAATTTCTCCAGAAATATTCTCTGGAAATTCCTGAGAAATTCTTAGGACTTTGTCACCATGTGTACGGATTTTAAGGGGAATTTAATAAAAGAATTAGTCTTGAGGAATTCCTGGGAATTTCTCCGGAATTTCACACCAAGAAATTCCTGAGAAATTCTCCGGAATGTTTCTCCGGAAATTCCTGAGAAATTCTTAAAAATTGGTCATTAAGTTTACGGATTTTTCGGGAATTTGATGAGAGAATAAGTTTCGAGAAATTTCTGAGAATTTCTCAGGAAATTTTCTCAAAAAATTCCTAAGAAGATGGTTATACTTCTAAAAAGTTGGATAGGCAATATAGTTGTTAAGTTATTCACTACTTATGTTAGTGAATATTTCAAGATATTCCTGAGGAACTCTTGAGAAAATCTTAGGAATAGTTCCAGGGAAATTCTCAGGAATTGGTTCTGGAGACCTTTTCGCTACAAATTTTCTCTGGTTTTTCTGAAGAATTAGTTACAAGAAATTCCTTGGATAGAGTTACGGGAATTTCCTCGGAATGGGTTACAAGAAATTCCTTGGACCTGGTTCCTCGGAATGAGTTACGAGAAATTCCTGGGAAAACCTGTCGACATTTTCACCGGATTTTTCTGTGAAAGATTCCTGGGAATTTCCGCGGATTCCCAGGAAAGATTCCTGGGAATTTCCGCAAAATTGTTACTTGGGTGGTTTTAAACGTCGAACATGGTTTCAATGTCTTAACTTCGTTTTTAGGAATTTTAATAAAAGAATACACTTGTAAAGACATAAATCATTTTTTTTATAAGATGCCATTTTTTCGGGTTTCTCAGGACAGGGTTTTGTAAACAATGTAAATGAAGTGTCTAATATACTGTAATAAAATTGAATTGAATCAATTTAAGACTAAGTCACCTTGAAAATTTCTAACAATGTCGATAATTTTAGATTAATAGACCAATTGAATTGTTGTTATCTATTCTATAAATTTAGACCTGGGCTTGACCGGTAAAAGTGTGAATGCTAACCAAATAAATCGCCCCCCCCCCCCATTCAACAAGGAAAAGCGTTAAAGATTAACTACTTAATGCATGCTAAAACCTGGGATGGGGGGGGGAGTAAGGTCTATGGGAAACTATGTTTTAGGTCCTTAATTTTAGATATTAAAATTTTCTGTGAAAACCAATATAATACATTGCGTGGAATTGAAAACTGATTGTTTAGAAAAATAAAGTAATGTATAATGCCCAGACATGATATATATTGCACATCAATTACTTGTTTTTCAGTTAAATAATGAAAGAGAAAGAGTTCAGTGAACTGAAAACTTTTAATAGTCTTCATGGTTCAAGTCATCCTATAATTTTTTACGTCTATATCACTTTATCACATATTATAGGGTGTCCCAATAAACATGGGAATTGAGAGACGAATTGAAAGTCGTCTTTGATTTCTGATATTTAATGCATGGTAAAGAAAGTCAGTATAAACGAGGCTGGTAAGGCTGATGAGCTTTTCATAAAGTGGGCTAGAACTTTCTTGTATCCTAAAAATTGACGAAGATATTAAATAATAAGATATCTTTGATTTTTTATTGAAAATGAAATTGAAATTACAAATGTGTCTAAATCTCCGTCAATTTTGAAGATATAAAAATGTGTAGACCAATTTATGAAAATCTCAAGACCAGGCGTTTTCGATATCAAATGTTTCAGCTGGAATACTGCAATAATTGTGTTGGCGCTTGGATCGAAGGCGATAAAAAAGTCGTCACTAAATTCCCATGTTTATTTTGGGAAGCTCTATAAACATGCTTTACAGGGCCGGTCTGTCATTTAATTTTTCAAGTGATCCTTTATTTAAAGATAAACATGACCGATTTACAATGGTACCCTTTAAAACCTGAAGATATCATCGTTTTTCTAGCTAAATTTTAACAATTTCATCTCAACGTTTTTGCAGGAAAATACGAAAACTAAATAAAAACCGCAATTAAAAATATATCCATAGATGCATTTTTGCTTAGATATATATTGAAAGGATATTGATACAAATCAGACATGCAGATACCTTAGCAAGTTTGCCCTCTATCGCAATTTGGCTATGATTGTCTATGGCTATTTCATGCATTCTGACCTATATATCCATAGAGTAATAAGTAATAAGTAGATATTTGAATATTAGTATTGATTAATAGATACAAACTTAATATGGATTTAAATAAAGAAAGAAAATCTAAAGATTGGTCAATTCCATAAAATCCCCCTTAGAAATACGATCACTCTGTATACAAGTGTACAGTGTTAGATACGTAAACATATCGTGATGTATACAACCGACCACTCTATTAATTAATTAATAGACAGGTCGTTTGTGTACATCTGAGCTAAGCTTCACCTCTTCGTTTTATTACTCTATGGATATTTAGGTCAGAATGCATGAAATATATTCATTGTATAAATTGATTATTTTAAACTGTGTTTTTTTAAATTGACTTTCGCAGAAAATTGTCAAAGTTTAACACTATTTATCTCGAAAAACAAGGATATCTTTTACATTATTAATATCATAAAAGTGTTAAATCAATAATTTGACAAAGTTTAAAATGAAACCTGTAATGTTTGAAGAAGATCTCCGACTGTTGGTGGGAAGAGAACTCGGTCTAGTTCATGAACTAAACCATGATGAGCTGGCAGATCATGGTTTCCAATCTTGGCTCCGTTTATTGTCAGAACCTGAGGAGTTAGGATTGGAACATATAATCTTACACTAAATTTACTTAATTTTGTTTACTGTGCAGGACTGATATATTTTTTTATGTTCAGAGGTCATAACTTTTGTTTGGAGTCTCGTTAATCTTGAACGCGTGATTTCGATATATAATGTGGTCACTTTTAGATCGAAAGAATAGCTGGATCAAAAAGCTGCATCATCAATTCACAACACAACGTGTCAGAGAAATTTGACACCTCTGCATGGAACACAAATATTAACTTTCTATTATACTTAATTTGAAATTTATGGCCCAAGAGATCAAATTGATGAATATATAGTATAAAAAACAAAATTTGAAAAACAGAAAGCTGCAGCTCTGGGCAATATGCGTAATATTACGGAGAAAGGAAAGCAGAAATAAATGTCAAAAAGCATTTTTCCCTTGTCTACGATTACAATGAGTGAGGAACAGAATATTGATGTATGATCAGCTAAATAAAAGATTCAACAGCTAGAAAAAATTCACTGTTCTTTTTAAAATTTTGTTAAAAAAAGAAAAATATTACTTTTTGATCTCTCGATTCAAGTTATCCCTTCAGGGTTTTACCACCAAAGAGGAGTTATAGTCACCTTCCTAAGCTAGTTGTAGAACAATGATTGATCCCGAGAATAATAACATAAAGAGGAGTTATAGTCACCTTCCTAAGCTAGTTGTAGAACAATGATTGATCCCGAGAATAATAACATAAAAGTTTGACTTCAGGGGACATTTTTAGATTCAGGGGACATTTTTAGATACAATTCAGGGGACATTTTTAGATACAATTCAGGGGACATTTTTAGATACAATTCAGGGGACATTTTTAGATACTGAGTTTAATATAACCGTAGCCTGATCTCTAATAGTTCTCATTCTTATCGTGAAAAAAAATAAAACAGCCAAGAACTATTTTCCACCTAATCGCTTTATACTTGTACTGTTAAATTAATTATCACTTTGTAATTGTAAACTCGTTCATGTACACAGATACATGCATTTTAGCAATGAACTGTATACAGCAATCTAAAGTTTCATTTGAATGGAACTGAGCTTTTGCCACAAACTTAAATTTTCTAAATCTTTGAAAGTTACAAAAATAAATGGATTAGAAAATTTAAGTTTTTGGCTCAATTCCTTTTTGGAAACAATCCCTCGATTACAAACCTTTAATTACCTTTCCTCTGACAATATGGTTTTTAATAATTCTCTCCAGCTCTTCAGGGTTTTGCTTTAGTTTCTCAATTCCCTTAAACAATTGTTTTGAATAAATTAAATCCAAAGTTAAAAAAGATCATGTTACGTAACGGTATAATTCTTAGTAAAGGAATTGAGCCTTTGTCACAAACTCAAAACTTCTACTATCTTTGCAATCCGATTGTGTAAACCTTTAATATTTAAAACTATAATTATTTGATCTAACACTATCCATAGTTTGAAATATCAAAGGTTGATGACGTATTGGGATGCAAAAATAAAGAGATTAGAATATTAGAGTTTGTGGCAAAGACTCAAATCCTTTAACATAGTAAAACCATGTCCTGTGCAAAATTGTTAAAATATGTAGATGATTGTATATATATCTGGACAAAAATCGAGTCTTTGTTAAGTTTCTTAAACTCATGTACTTATTGCCTATAGACCTGAGTTTCAGTGTCAGCTATAGGCCAAATAACGAGTTAAACTATCTTTCCTAGCAATGTTATACAATATATACACTCTGGAGCCAGAAACTTAAGAGATTACTGTTAAAAAAAACTCCCGGGATCATTTGTGTAGATTTTGATAAAACCGCAAATGAAAATAAACAATAATATCTAATTTATACTTGATCATACAAAGCTTTAAATGGTATCAATTGTAAATCAGGCATTGCCATCTTTGCATGAAGGTTTCTTAAAATTACACTTACAGTCCCTTTAAGTTTCGGGCTATTATGCATGTATAGAATGTATATATTGTTTAAACTGTACATACATATTAATGTGTAATTGTAACAAAGTAAATGTAAGTATTAATGTAATGTATAAGATTAACAGTTATTGAGATAAATGAGAATACAATGAAAGCTTCTCTATTCTTATCATCAAGGAGAATGAGCTTATTTGTTATTAATGTATATTACCTGACTCATGCCTCCCAGCTTTTCAAAAAATGTGAAAAAAGCTGCATCTGTAGGTGAGAACACAGTATACTCTCCTAATCAGAAAAAAAGTTATAAAAAATAAAGTAAAATGGTGGATATAGGTACGGGAAAATACTTTATTTACAAACCAAGTGTATAAATATTAAATACTAAGTAAAAGATTTACTTAATGGTTGTACCGCCTTTTAAAGGGAGTGACCGGCTATGCAAGGTAGTTGAACTGAGTATGCAGTGTTGTGGAAAACTATTTTCGGATTCATTTTAGAAATATAAAACTTTTTAAAAATCTATAAATCCTGAGTTTGAGTGCAAATTCGACGTTTAAAACTCATACTTTGGGGTGAATACGTTTTCAGAATTAGTTTTTTTTTAAATAATTAAATAACAACAACGAACAATAAAGTAAAAATTATACAGTAATCTAATTCGATGTTTAGGAACATATTTCTCAATAGAAACTTGTCAATAAATCAATGCTATAATCAATTATTTCGTTTTCATCACTATATTGAATTTCTTTTTTCTTTGAATTTATTCGCCGATTACTTCAAATTCTTCAAATGTCGTCTTTTCAATAGTTCCAGAAAATCCGCGGAAATTCTTTGAATAATAAGAAACAAGAATAATGAAAAAATAGAAACAAATAATTGAACAAGATTACTTATTTTCGATGATAAGATTACTATTTATTTTCTCAACCTGTTTCTAAACAACTAGTTTACTGTAGATTTTTTTTTTGCATTTTATGTCATAGTTATTTAATAATTTAAAAAAACTAATTCTGAAAATGTATTCACCCTCAAAGAAGGAGTCTTGAACGTCGAATTTGAGCTCAAACTCAGGATTTACAGATCTTTAAAAAGTGTAATATGTCTCAAATGAATCCGAAAGAAGTTTTCCACAACACTGCATACTCAGTTCAACTACCATACGTAGCCGGTCATTCCCTTTAATGTTCTTAAATAATTTTATAGTTAAGATCTAAGCCCCCCCATTCTCATTCTATTTGCGCCAATGAAGCTTTATTGCAGAGATTTCAGATCATGTTGAAATAGCATTGACGTACTTAGCTGCAATAACATGAAATATTTCAACATGCATTCTCTATCGATGATGTTTGGTTGGGGAAAACACAATGAAAACATAAAAAAATAAAACATTTTTTATCATTTTAATCCTTGATATTTGCATTGCATTCCAAAATCCAGGGTTGCAGGCAATGGTACATGGCAACCCTGGTAGCAATATCAATGTTACATTGCAACCCTGGTTGTAATATCAATGTTACATTGCAACCCTGGTTGTAATATCAATGTTACATTGCATCCCTGGTTGTAATATCAATGTTACATTGCAACCCTAGTAGTAATATCAATGTTACATTGCAACCCTGGTTGTAATATCAATGTTACATTGCAACCCTGGTTGTAATATCAATGTTACATTATAACCCTGGTTGTAATATCAATGTTACATTATAACCCTGGTTGTAATATCAATGTTACATTGCAACCCTGGTTGTAATATCAATGTTACATGCAACCCTGGTTGTAATATCAATGTTACATTATAACCCTGGTTGTAATATCAATGTTACATTATAACCCTGGTTGTAATATTAAAAAGTCGTATAAGTTTTGTACAAAGGAATAAAGACTAAAGTTGGAACCCCCTCTCCTGCAAATAGAGAATTGAACACCATTTAAATTAAGAATACCCCAGCCCCCCATCAGGAACATTATATTTGCGCCTATGACGCAAAATTGCAAGCTATTTTGAAAAATCATTTATCACACAAACATATGATATCCTAGACTACATATTTCAACATGAAAACTAATCCTGCCTATAAAGGGAATATAGGCGTAATTTCAAGTGACCTAAAATAATAGACTGAAAAATTTTTTTTTTTAAATCTCATATTTTTTCTGAAAATACGAGATTTGTCCCTCCCCCCCCCCCACACACTCTATGAATGAAGAGAGAGGGAGGGGGGAGGGCCAAGAAATTACATCTATATACAGTCTCTTTAAGGATTTTCAGTGTTTGTTTTAAATTTAAGATTTTATAAAAATTTATATAAATGAAATTAAGAAATATTAGGGCAGCTATCTAATATAAACATATAAATCAAGTTTATACACACTATATAACTCTGGATACTAAAGTTCTTGTTTAATATGTTGAAATGTTCTTATCTCTTTCCAATTAGTTCGAACATGATGTGTCAGTACGTGAGCCTATATATTTTGTGTATAGTTTGCTAAATTCTTCAGTTATAACTTTCAGTCAAGTTGGTTTGGATATAAAAAGGATGTCATTTTGAAGTACAAATCATGGTTTCTGAAGAATCTACAGAACGACGTGGCCTCCCTCCACATCTAGCTAAACTTTATAATATTATTACAACCACATCTCTCTTCTCATTTATAAAAGGCCGTGGTTTTAACACAAGCGGTATTCCAAAGGCGGTTGTACTACAAAAAGTGAAAGAAGCTATTCTAGAGGGTAAACATTTTGATGAAAGAAATCCTTGTATAATATTGTGTGATAGATCCCAGCAGTTGGAGAATATATTTGGAATGAAAGCACTTCATGTTTGCCAGGTTCAAACTGCTCTCGCTAAATCTATGGTTGATCATGATGCCCATGAGAACAGTTCTGATTCAGATTATGAATCTGGAACAGAAGAAGAAACAGGAGAAACACCTGCTACCGACTCCAAAGCTCCAGTAGCTAACCCTCACACTAAGTTTAAGCTCTCTGAGAAGCTGAGACAGCTGTTTGTTTCAGCAGCTCTTGTTACTGATCAGGAGCTGTTTACCTTTACTGATGCTGCTGGATTATTGTCTAGTTACATTATTTCTAGGAAAGATCATATTTTTGATTCTAGAAACATCATGGTTGCTCTAGTAGGTCAGGACCCTCTTGGAAATGTTTTCAATGTGACTGCGTTCCATAGAAGCCAAGCATCAATGTTCCTGAAAAGGCATTTGATCCCTGTACTCCAGGAACCAATATACACCAAACAAACTTCAAGTGTTGAAACTCAGACGGAAATGGAGATAAAGAACGAAGAAATAGTCAAAATTGAACCGACGATTGAGCAAATGCCGCAAATTGAAATTAGAACACGGAAGAGATGCACAAGTGAGGCAGGAGTGCATCCTATGAAAACTAGAAAGATGGTATTTTAATCCAATAAAGAATTGAACATTAATTCATGTGAAAAGTTGATATATTAATACACTATACAGTACAATTTGGATAGCTTATATCAAACATATTATGCTTGTTTTAAATATAAATGATTTATATATATTTACTACAAAATTAGATAAAAAAATTGTAAAAAAGTATATCTAAGTTGTTCTCTTTCGACAGTAGAGATTAAAACAATGTGTTTCAGCTTGAAATTTTCTTTCTTAAAGGGAGTGAGCGGTAATGTATGGTGGTTCAACTGAATATGTAATATTGTGGCAACAACATTTTTTAGGGTTTATTTGAGGCATATAAAACGTTTCTACAACAACTTTGTCTTGTATTGGTGTAAGACTAGAATATTGTTCCCCCCTTTGGGGTGTATCCTTTCAAATATAACACTATATTTACTAACCTAAATTCAGTTCTCGTCCTAGTCCAGTTTCATGAAGTAAATATGCCATCACACTTGAACCCCCCTTAAGCTCAACCTAAAATGTAAAGGAATTGATTCTTTGCCACAAACCCTTCTTTGGAACCCAATTTCATAAACCTTTGATATTTCAAACTTATATTTTTTAATCTAAAAAAAATCATATTTTGAAGGTTTACGACGTTGGAATCCAATGATATAGGGATTAGAAAATCAGAGTTTGTTGCAAAGAGTCAATTCCTTTAAAAATGAGAAAGAAGAAGGTAAACTACAGGATTATATCCACGTATGGCGACCTGAAACGTTTTAAATTTGATTATCTGAATGATGAATTTGGTCAAATAGATTGTCAAGTACAATAGACGGCAACGTAGAATGTACTGCTGTATTCTGACGTCACAAGTGGCAACAGTTTCATATTCCCGACAAAATTATTAATAATAGTAATAATATTAAGTGCATATATTACAATGAAATAAGTTCATTTGTTTTCTTTATTTTCTGTTTTTACACTTTTTATTTGATCTTGGAAAACATGTCAACTAATGGGCGAAAATGGTGTCATCAGCTTGTTATATTTGACACATGTGACGTTATGTATAATTGGTCCATTTCTCTGTTGCCACCTTTTGATAATCTATTTGAGTTCGGTTTTCTCACTGATTAATTTGCAGTAATTCGCTTCAAACTCTAATTTTCTAATCCGATTATCTTTGCACCCTGACGTCGTATACATTTGAAATTTCAAACAGTGCGGTCGTGGAATTTCAAAATTTGAGTTTAAAAGTTAGCCTAAGTCTCTTTACGAATTTCAGTCAATTTGGTTTAACCGGTTGGCCAGCCATAAATAATAATTACCCTGTTTGGTGGGAATTCATCATAAACAGAGTTGGTTCTAAATCCCTAAAAAAAAACTAAAATTAGGAAAAACATAAAAATTAAAATTTTTTTAGAGCTGCGTAAATATACAAAAGGTAAGGGGGACAGGATGTGTGTAAACATTTTACACTAACGTATTGAGATAGCTATGAATTGGTTTTATCAAAACAATAACAAAGATATTAATAAACTTTAACAATAACAAAGATGTCAATAAACTTTAAACCAGTTCCATCAGTCCCAATCTGTTATTCCTCCCACATGGGATTGCTCCAAAACAGGATTCCTCCCACATGGGATTCCTCCCACACAGGATTCCTCCCACATGGGATTCCTCCCACACAGGACTCCTCCCACATGGAATTCCTCCCACACAGGATTTCTCCCACACAGGATTCCTCCCACATGGAATTCCTCCCACAGAGGATTCCTCCCACAGTTGTTAACTAAGGATCCACATCTGATAAGATCCCAGTATTTGATTATATTATAGTGATCAAGTATGATTTTATACTTTGTCTTCATCTTTTATATTTTTTTTATTTTTTTTTTTTTTCAAATTTATACTTTAGAATTCATGCAGAGCAGAAAATGTTAGCAACTGCTCTGAGGTAGGCCAATTTGTTTTGGCTGGCCTGATAGGTATTGACTTTGGCAGCAAGTCTCTCTGATAGGACTTCTACATACTGGGATGCTGGGAAAGAAATAAAGAATTCAGGCCATTGTGGTATCCCTCAACAGCATTAGTGGTCCTGGGAACATTGTTGGCAGGATCCTCTAAATGGTTCCACACCTGAGGGGGATATCTGGAAGGTCCCCTACCCCTACCATGACCTCTGCCTCTGCCTCAAAGTAGGCTATGAGCTCTTTCACTCGGTCTGGAAAAGAGTCAACAAGGTCCAGGAACCTTTCCAAGACATCATTCTCTGGAACAATTGACTGAGCTGACAGGGGCTTCACTGCCATGTTGAAATCTGGGTTGCTTTCAAACTGAACCTTTAGACCTAGGTCACCAACCTTTCTTAGCACAGACTGGCTAAGGTGGAATAGGCATCCTTTGATGTTAGCATTAGGATATGCCAGCCTAAATGCATTTTGTGCAGCATTTTCAAAATCAGCCAGAATAATTTCAGGATTAGCATTAGGCAGAAGAAATGAAAGAAACAAAAATTGCTCCAATAAAGAATTAAAATATATCTACACTGTATTCAGTGGGAGGAATTCTGTGTGGGAGGAATTCCGTGTGGGAGGAATCCTGTGTGGGAGGAATCCTGTGTGGGAGGAATCCCATGTGGGAGGAATCCTGTGGGAGGAATCCCGTGTGGGAGGAATCCTGTGGGAGGAATCCCATGTGGGAGGAATCCTGTGGGAGGAATCCTGTGGGAGGAATCCCGTGTGGGAGGAATCATGTGGGAGGAATCCCATGTGGGAGGAATCCTGTGGGAGAAATCCCATGTGGGAGGAATCCTGTGGGAGGAATCCCGTGTGGGAGGAATTCCGTGTGGGAGGAATCCCATGGGGGAGGAAACCCGTGGGAGGAATCCCGAATGGGAGAAATCCCATGGGAGGAATCCCATGGAAGGAATTCCATGGGAGGAATTCTGCATGGGAGGAATCCCGATGGAACCCAGTTTCATGAGTGACCCTTCATGCAAAGATGGCAATGTCCGATTTTCAAAAGTACCCTAAACAGCTTTGTCTGATCAAGTATGAATTAGATATCCATGTTTTGTTCCTTCAAACTGTTTATTTTCATTTGTGTTCTCTCTGTAAAAATTGCACATTTCTTGCTTGTAAGAAACAATAGAGGAATTCACAGAAAAACAGCGTTATCTTCCTCATTTTTATTTTCCTTTAACTACCTGTTTTCTGTTCCTTGAGTTGATGCAGGGAAGGAGAAGGAAAATTATAAAACTTGTTATTTTCATGTTTTTGGTTTTTTTTTATTCTTTTAAAACATTTATCACAATATGGTACATATTCGTCATTTTAATATTAAGGTCTGAAACGAGATAAGAAGAAGTATTGGTACGATTTTATTACCATGAACTCCCTCTAGAGTTGATTTGAAAACCATATTTATCCAGCTAACTATTAGAAATTCAAAACAGTTTTGTTTTTCTCAAGATCTATTCAATAAGAAGAGTTATGATTGAAAAACATTTCAGATTTCATGATCTTACGTGAACTTTTCTTTATATCAGAATAGCACGTTTTTTAAAGAAAAATATAAGATTTATCAAAAAAGAATAATTCAGCCTTTTTAATTTTAAAAATATCAAAGGTCAACTCGACATAAGGTTGTAAAAATAGATTTTTAGAAATTTGAGGTTTGCGATGAATGTTTGTAGTTCTTGTGAAGTAAAAAATAAGTTTGACAGAATCAGCTTTGAGAGTTTAAAAAATTAATACTTAGATATTTGTATAGACATCACAATTATGAAAATTATATAAGAAAGTAGAATTGTTTCATCATTATTGTATTTCATTTCGAAGCAATACAAATTCTTTGTAAAGTTCTAAGAAAAATATGTTTTACGATTATTCATTGTTTACCAAATGATTCATGTCTTTTTTTCATTTATGTTTGAGCACTATATGTTTATCATTCTTACTCACTTCAACGTGAATTTCATAATGAACGCGCTAGAGAGTAATCATCGTGCTATTGAGTTATATTAACTGCAACATTATAGCACGTAAGCAAAAAAGTTTTGATTGGTTGCAGGATTTTCTCAAAAAAATTTAGGATATTTCCAAATTATTTTTTTTTCAAATGAAATGAAAATAAAATTGAAATAGGTTAAATGTCATTTAACATTTTACTATAATGCTTTTCACTAAGCAGCTTACAATGACATTATACAGTTTTTTCATCAAGACTTTCAGATTAAGAAAATGGGTCTTTGTCACAAACTAAAATTTTCTAATCCCTATATCTTAGCAACTAGATGGTGCAAACCTTTGATATTTCAAACTTTATATCTAAGGTCTACGGTATTGGGTTGCAAAGATAAAGGGATTAGAAAATCTGAGTTTGTTGCAAAGACTCCTTAAAACCATAAAATGCACCGTACTATCTAATGCTACTTCACTGTATAATGAGAAACTGATCGTGAAAATGTTGCAACATTTCCGTTACGCAGATTTACGCCGGGTATATACGCAGATTTACGCAGTGTTACGCTTTGAAAATTGTAGATCAAGGCCAGGGAGCTAATTGGTATTTGTTAGACTAATTAGAATACGTGTATTCACAATAATTGATTGTATTTTAATATGCGAGCTAGGCAAGACTAATTATGGTTTAGGGTCACCTAACTCACTATAAGCTTATTATTTCATTTTACATTATTCACACATATGCATTAATATTATAGTATATGAATAAAAATCAATAAAGCAATGCACTGAGTTTCTCAAATATTCAACGCGTCGGTTTTTCTTACAATATATTTATATACAAAAGGTACAAACTTTAAATCGAACGATACTAATACAAACGAGATATTGTGAATCTAATCAGATCTATCAAACAGGAGACATTTTACATTTTCATTTTCATCGTCTCACTTATACAAATTAAATATTGTTAATCAAATAGGTTTCGTCAGATAGGGGAATTCTTCAAGGGAACCTTAATTCAAGGGAGCTGAATCACAACTGTCTTTTTTTCCCTCTATTTCGCTCCACCCTTAGTTCGCATTCTACCCCACGCCCTGTGAGCTGGCCGGCCAGCTCCCCAGCTCCCGGGCTTGGAGATAACGGATTTCTCCGCGTGGCTTGGGTTAAATATAGAAACCAAACATAAACAAGAAAACCCGTTAAATATCAGTAAAAGGTGGGGGGGGAGGCAAAATGGGGTTGAGTGCGAACGAAGGGTAAAAATAACTGACAAACAAAATGCTATTTACAGTCGCAGGAAAGATCAAAACATCATTTTCCTGCTACAATATAATGTTACATATACTATTTACATGGATAGTATACAAGTAATGGTTGACATTTTAAAAATAGTGCAACTTCTGATAACACCCCTCACAGCAGTGGAATATGGAGTTTTATTGTGGGAGTAAAAAATATCGACTAATTATTTTAAATTTATTTTAAACGTTTTTATGTTGGTTAAATTTACAAAATTATATATAAAAATTCAAACAGTAAATAAAGACGGTTTTACAATTATGAAATATTTGATAGAAAAGTTTAGCTTTATTTGATCAGACTGAGAACAGAATCCCTAAAAACCAGCAATTTTATTGATTTTTAAAATTTAAATAAACCGACCATTATTTGCCGGCCTTTCGCCTTAATGGAACATTAATTTTGATTGTGATTTTTATTAAAAAATGATTACTTGCATTTAAACTCTAATAATGATATTTCAAATTATATAGCTATATGCAAATAGATTAAACTCTAATAATGATATTTCAAATTATATAGCTATGCAAATAGATTAAACTCTAATAATGATATTTCAAATTATAGCTTTATGCAAATAGATTAAACTCTAACAATGATATTTCAAATTATAGCTATATGCAAATAGATTATAAAGTCAAACTTTGCGAGTTAAAAAAGTGATCTTAAATATTTAAAGAATAATGAACTAAAGTAAGAATTAATAGTTACTTCTGATTGAGATAAGATATTGAACGATCAAAGAGAAGACGACATTTGTAATTTTAATAAAATTGTTGATTTCCTAATAATGGCGGAGCACTCCATGATCTCCGCCTCTGATATAACTAGGGGCGGAGCTAGGCGGATAGTATCTCCATGAGTTGGTTTAGCCAGAAGTCCTCTTTCCTTGAGATCCAAACAAACCTAGAAATAATCAGGGTGTGTAAAAACAAACCTAGAAATAATCAGGGTGTGTAAAAAACAAACCTAGAAATAATCAGGGTGTGTAAAAAACAAACCTAGAAATAATCAGGGTGTGTAAAAACAAACCTAGAAATAATCAGGATGTTTGCAGTGTTTATATCTTAGGCTGAAAAATGGAATGTAAAGAAGACTGTGTAACAAACTCAAATTTCTAATCCCTATTTCTTTGCAACCTGATGGTGTAAACCTTTGTAATTATAATCTTAGTCTATTTAATCCAACAGAATGTCAAAATTCATAATTTGAAATGAAGATATATACGACATCGGGTTGCAAAGATATAAAAATTATAAAAATCAGAGTTTGTGGAAAAACCTCAGTTCAATATTAGTACGTTAGTAGTAGCTTTCTTTAAGATTTATCAATGATTGTGGATGATATAACATAATACTTAAAATTGAGACTTTGCCACAAAGTCTGATTTTCTATTTCCTATATCTTTGCAGCCCAATGTGGTAGATCTTAGATATTTCAAACTAAAAATTCCGTTAGGTAAAAAATCTAAGTTTTAAATTTCAAAGGTTTATATCATCTGGTTTTAAAGATATAGGGATTAGAAAATTTAATTTTGTTGCAAAGACTCAATTCCTTAGAGTTATAATTAATATTTAATGAACTTACTTTCATAGCATCGTACTTCTCATCAATAACAATAGCGTTGAGAAGTCCCCTGCCTCTGACCGTCTTGACCACGCTGCTCGGCAGAGTATTTAGCTCCTTCCTGAGCAGGGTTCCCATCCTATCCGCCTTCTCAGCCAGGTTCTCATCTATCAACACCTGAACAAGCACCATCAGGAGGACTTCAGAGCCCAAAATTTAAAAGAGTATCGTTGAACGAAACTTCCTAATTTCCTTTTTGGGGTCGGAACATTTTACACAAGAAATTCTAAGAAATTCCAAAAAATATAAAGAATATGCAGAAAATAAAAAAAGGTAATATTTCATAACAAAAATATTGATATCCACAAAACTGCCTAACCCTATTCGTGAAACCCGGGTTCCAAAACTGGTTTTCATAACGATACCCTGTCTTAAGTTTTGTGTTCTGGGAGCAAAAATTTACTTATTTGATTCTGTGACAAAAATTCCCAATTAACTTTTATTATGAACCCATTAAAAATAATCAATTTTCAAAGAGCAACATATTTTTATCTTCTGCATTCTTCTCTCTTGATAAGCATTTAAGGGTAACGTTCTGAATTGCACATGCACCTTCATAAATAGAGACTAAGGAATTGAGTCTTTGTCACAAACTATGATTTTCTAATCTCTATATCTTTGTAATCCAATGCCGTAGACCTTAGTTATTTCAAACTATGAATTCTGTTAGATGAAAAAATCTAAGTTTGAAATATCAAAGGTTTACACCATCAGGTGGAAAAAATATAGTTATTAGAAAACCAGAGTTTGTTACAAAGACTCAATTCCTTTGAAATTAAATCTACAGTCTTTGAATTTTATTTGAGATCCACCCTTACTTATTTTAACATATCATACTCATTACAAACATTTTATTCTAGATCCACTCTTTCTTTAACATATCATATTAATTGGAAACCTTCTCATTTCTGTATTTAGAAAAACTTCTTTCTTCTGATCACGGTGATTATTTTGTCTAATGTCACTTTTTGGAATTAGTTTTTTCTTTTAAAAAGCATCAATTACAGTTAGTTAGTTACCATTAAAAAAAATTTAGAAATTATATAATTTACTAGGACACTGCATTTTACAGAACTTTAAAGCTTAGTCAAAGTTTAATATATAATTTAAATTATTTTTGTTGAAATGTCATACCTTGAGACTCGCTAGTGCAACTTTACAAGCTAGAGGATTTCCTCCATAGGTGGATCCATGCTCCCCAGGTCTTATTGTCAGCATCACCTGTAAGTGTACAGTATACAGTGTACAGTTTTATAGTTTCGCGGATTTTCCAGAATCCGCTTTTCAAAATTCGCAATTTACAAAAAAAAATATTGAAAAAATGTAAAATTTTCCAAAAACTCTTTTATTCTAAATTCCTACAGTATAAAAATTCAAAATTACCTCGTCATTGGCAAAAACCGCTGACACAGGCATAACACCTCCTGAAAAATAATTGTTTTTGTTTCAATAAACTCATTAAAAGCCTATTTTTCTTGATTTTGAAGGAAATGACTTTAACTTTCCAGGTTTCAATCTTTTTAATCTAATTTAACCCTTTTTTTACCGCAAATGGTAGTGGGGACTGTAGCTAAAGCTTTGATCCCTTTACACAACATCAGATTTTAAAAGAAAAACTTTAGAAAATACGAGAATATGCATGACTTAGATTCGTCGAAAATTAAGGCATTGGTTAAATGTTTTTGCTTATTAAAAATTTAAAACAAATTTGACAACAAATGTCGTAACAAAATGGCTTAAATGATGATTTACCTGAAAGCGCTTTTCCCAAAACCAGAATATCAGGCCTGAAAATGAAAAAAATATCAATAAACAAAAAGTGGTAAACATTGTAGAGAAATAAAAAATGATTAAATTCGAGAAAAAAAAACATAATTTAGAAACTAAAGAAACTGAGTTCTTGCCACACATTCTAATTGTCTAATCAAATAAGGTTGGAAAAACTCAGTTCCTTGGGAAAGATCAAAATAATCATGAACGTTTAAAATGTCGTCTTCACCTGACGTTTTCCCAATCACAGGCCAACATTTTACCAGTTCTACATAGTCCAGTTTGAACCTGTAAAAACCAAGAAATGATACAACTTAATCTTTTAAATTAAAAAAGAAGTGTATGTAGAAAACTTGAAGATGATCAATTTCGGTTTTGATTTTCTAATATAATGAGTTTTTTTTAAAGAAGAATTGTTTATACAGAGCGTCCCATATCATAATAGATTTCTTCAAGCTTTTAACTCCAATATACGCACTAAATACTCGAAAAGCATAGTATTTTTTCAGATGCAAATTTTCATATAACCAAATAGCAATTTACAATTTTTCGAATGATTCCTTCTTTTTATTTTTTTTCTGATTAGTCCCGGAAATCGCCATTTAAAGGTATAACACGGTCCAATATGATGTGGGACACCCTGTATATATTTGTTGACTTGAAAAGTCACTATAATAAAATAACGAGATCTAAAATGGATATTTCTAACATTTATTTAAAACGAAAGTGTTTTGAAATATTTGCATTTAAGGCGGAGTTAAAATTGGTTGATTTAGAAATTAACAAAGGAATTAATGATGAATGTTGTGGGTACTTCATGGGAGTGATGTAGATCTTCATGTTGGTGAAGCAGATCAACAGGATCTTGAACAACAGGACTTATCCAACCTAGTAGGCAGAGATCGCGGCTTGTCATGCTGGCTATGAGCGATTATGTTGTCTCTGGAATGCATGATGAACTGGGAACCCTTCGGGTAAGAGCGTCTGCTGCTATCTGAGTATCTGCGTCATCATCATAAAGGAGTCAAGAGGCTCCCTGTGCCGGAGCTGTTACTAGTTCAACTGTCCTAACATGACCGAACTGAATACCGGGAGGGAGCTGGGATGAGCGGAGATTCGACATGTGGGCACTACATGAGGAGGAAATGGATTTGAGTACACATACATCTAGAGAAAAGGCTGGGGCATTTGAGTCGGAAAAATCGTCTTCCTTATATTTCGAATTAATTTTAACAATATTATATCTTAAACTCTAATCCTTGAAATTAGGCCAAAAAAGGTCAAAATAATTCATGATCATGGTTCATCAATTTTGTTTGACAACCCAGTGCAGTGGGTTGAATCCATGTTCATGTGACATTAATTTTTTTGAAAAAGTTCCAATTTGAAAAGAAACTTTTGCAAATAATTTGAGAATGATTAAAAATTGCGACTTATAGAGCAAAATTAATATTAGGAACGGGGGCGCGATATTAGCCAAAAATGTTTAACTGTGAACGCCCTACCTCATCTGCAATCCACAGAACATTGTATTTATCACACAGTGCTCTAAACAGAACAAATTTTAAAAACTTTGATTTAAAAAGTATATTTTAATTTTTTACCTGACTCCTTTAAGGTATCCGTCATCAGGAAGTACAACCCCGGCCTCTCCTTGTATAGGTTCTACCATAAATGCACATGTATTGGGATCCTATAACATTATTCAAATAGACTATCTAGTGTGATCTAGTGTAAAAGTAAATTTAACCCATATGAATCATAAAGTCTGACCGCGTCAACCTTGCTGCACCTGTTAGTCCTGTCCAGAGCCAGGTACAGTACAAACTGGGAACGGAAAGGTTGACCCGGCTCGAAAATTCAAATGTACTAAGGCTGCCCGTGATATATACGCCCCCTTGCTCAGTCAATTAACCCTATCCCCGCTGGGGTACTTGAAAACCAGGATACGCTGGGGGGGGGGTCAATTTGACCCCCCCCTCTAAATCCCATGTTTTATGTCCAAATATGACAAATGATACATCATTAGAAAGTTCTTGTGCTCTACTTTTAGAATCTGCAAAAAAATTTGCAAATTTGCGAAAATTGAATTTTTTATCGCAAAATCCAGTTTTATAGTAAAAATGTTTGCAAAAAAAAATTTGTCCAAAAAATGACAAATTATACATTTTTGAAAAGCCCTTGACCATGCCATTTAAAATATGCAAAAATTTTTGCAAAATTTTAAATAACCTGATTTTTAATCAAGAAAAACTAAAAATGTGCAAATTTCCTTTGACAGGTTTTTTGCAAAAAATTTGCAATTTTTTTTTCGCAAAACTTGTGCAATCCGTTTCCTTATGTCATAGGCTTTCCAAAAAGCTAAATTTTATCAAAATCTGACAAGTGAAAGTGGGTCAAAACAAAGATTTAGTTTGCTACAGGCAAAAGCAGTCATTCAGGCAGTGTGCCTGAGGACTCAGGCAGTTAGTATTAAAGCCCGGTTTTAGGCCTAAAGGGAGGGCTTTGGGTATGTTAGAAAAGTCAGAAAATTTCAACAGCCTCAGACCAATACTTTTTGAGTTATGTAAAAAAAACTACAGGGGGGGGTCAAATTGACCCCCCCCCCCCAGCGGGAATAGGGTTAACAAAAGCGAAGAAACCGCTTCTGTCTTAAAAATCAATAGATGACATTCTGAAATTTTATTCCCTGTTTCTGCTGCACAAATCCGCAAATCATATTTATAGAGAGCCCAAATTTTAAATTATCAATTTTTCATGTCAAAATCAAGAATGTTCACAATTTTTTACTCAAATAAAGGTTACTAATTTCAAATATTTTGACATTTTAAAAAAACTTTGATAAAATTCCCTTCTTTTTTAATGGTATATTAGTTGTTTTCTAATATATTTTATTGTTTCTTATTTAATTTCATATTAATAATAATCAAAATCTTTAAAAATTAACCATTTTCAATTGTGGTTCCTCTTTAAACTGAATTAATTGTCTTTCCCAATATAGATAGTTTGATAATTGGTTGTTATAGGATATTGTTGTAAATCTGGCATTCAACTCTTTAAATGTAAGGATACTTAAAGTTAGTACAATAGTCACTTTAATAAGATACAGGGTGTTCCATGAAACATGACAGTTGATGAATAGTTTGGAATGTCGTCTTTCAAATACTGGATTAGATTCAAAGACATTTTGCAGTCTAGTTCGGTAGAAAAATCTTTTGTTTGAATATATCTTAATCTGGGATCGATTTTACTGCCATATAATGTTTATTATTATTTTCTTTATGTATCAAACAACTTAACAAATTATGGAAGAAGACATTTTAAAATATTCGGCAACTGTCATGTTTCGTGGGACACCCTGTATGTACATTCAAAACAAAACATAAAAAAATTGATATTATTTGACCTTTAACTCTTCTTCTAATGCTGCAAGGTCACTGTAGGTCACCAGGCTAAAGCCAGGCATGAAGGGTCCGTAGTCACCATAGGCTGTAGGGTCTAAATATTAAAAACAAATTAAAAAATTTAGTCAAAATCATTAAAAAAAAGTTTTAAAAGATAAACTTGAAAAAAATGTTGGGTATCTAAATATAATAAAAGCAAAGTAAAAAAGAAGATTAAAATTATAAATTAATTAATAAACTTGAAACGGACTAGGGGTTTATAAATAAAAAAAATGAACATTTTTTCAAATTGTCATATTTGTAACAATCTAGGTCCCGAGAATATTCTCAATACTCGACTCTAACTCTAATTATTCAGTCAATCCTGACTCTATCTCAAGTCAATCCTGACTATACACGTCCGTCTAAAACAACGGTTGATTCTATACTAATTTATTGATACAGGTCGGTCAGGGTCAATCAAACACAGATAATAAAGATCGGTGAACTCTATTCAACTATCACAGAATTTATCACATATTTTCTTTTTTTTAGAACAAATTGCCCAAGGTTATATTGCTAGGATAGTTAATTGCAGTTGCGTATACTCTGTGTACATATTGAAACCAGTTCTCTCTGGGCAGAATTTGTAAACAAGAATAGATGCATCATTGTTCGTTTAGTATCCAAGGAGGTTAAAAGCATTAAATTATGATAATTTTGATAATTCATATAATAGTTTCATATGACTAGAATATGCCATTGATTTTTTATGTGAAAGATGGATCCCATGGCAGGCTTCGACACCCGTCTTGTGTTTACATTACTGTCTTTCCTTGCATTATAACCTTGAAATTACCCATTGAACAATTTCAAGAGATTTTCTACTTATAAATTAAATTTAATTAAATTGGCATTTAATTTAATTTAATTTAATTTAATTTAATTTAATTTAATCTAATTTAATTTAATTTAATTTAATTTAATTTAATTTAATTTAATTTAATTTAATTTAAAATTGTATTAAGGATTAGACTGTAAAGGCGAATTGAAAATTCCTAAGATATATATGACTTCAATGATTTCAATGTTAAATTAAGTCTTCTGTATTAAATATAAGTATTAAATAATACATCTAAGGATTTGACAAAGAGAGAAACAAGTTTATAGTTTCAGGTAATTATGAATATAAGAAAAAAAACAGTATATATACAATTGTTAACCATTAATTTTAAAACCTCTATAAAATGTCGTCTTCTACTGGAATCTCCTGTCGGAGACAGCCAAACCAAATTTCTGTTGTGTGTGTATTGTTCGGCCATCGGGAAAGAATTGTCTGGGGATAATAAACATCCCCCACCAGAATCCTAACCGGCCTATTATTCGGATTTGTCTAGCGTGTTGCTGTTTTCCGTCAACAACAATACAGTCGTCTCACCCTGAAATTTATCACAAACTGGACAGTTTGCTAATTTACATTTAAAACGTTTCTCCATATCTCTATATGTTATACCTGTAGAGGAAGAAACAGCAGCCAGAGTTCTACCCCAGAAATTGTTCTTAGCAAAGACGACTTTTGCTTTATTCTGTTCTATTTTTTTTACTTTGTAACCCCATTTCCTAAAAAACATATCATGAACAATTAAATATTTCTTTTCCTTTATTAAAAACAAATGTTTAAATAAAAAATCTGATAAATCTGCAGCGGTAATCAGAAAACAGTTAAATTTTAAGCTGAATTAGTCAACCCTAAAAGAGAAAGTTTAGATTTCAGATAAAGCTGGGTTTCCATGACTAATATTTATATAATTCTAATAATAAAAGACCTTGCTAGTTTGATTGCTGTTTCTCCGCCTTCAACACCTAAATAAATGTCGAATAAAAACTTTATATTACAAAATTATTTCGAAAAAATAACTCTAATTTTTTATACCTGTGTTCATTGCTAACATTTTGTCATATCCAAACAGATTTGTTGCATATTCCTCTAGCTCTCCCAGTACATTGTTATAAAATGCTCTTCAACACAAATATATTTTTATACAGGGTGTCCCACGAAACATGACAGTTGGTGAATAGTTTTGAATGTCTTCTTCCACATACTGTATTAGATATTAAAGACTTTTTGCAGTTTATTTCTTTAAAAAAATGTTTTCATATTTTTTTTACTGTGAGTCGATTAAAACTATTTGGTATTTTCTTAAAACCACCTCGAAAATTAGTTTCAGTGTAGCATCGAAATAACATCTTCGGTCAACATTATTGTGATTAGGATCTACATGAAGAATACTGTCATATAAAAACTGTTATTAGTCTCTTTAGTATCAAACAACTTATCAAATTATGGAAGAAGACATTTTAAACTATTCACCAACTGTCATGTTTCGTGGGATACCCTTAATGAAGTGACTCTGCTTTTGTAGATTGGCACGTTCAGTTCACAATATTATACCATTTAAACCTATATCATCAGTAACAATGAGTAAGTTATAATCGGTTTTCTTATTAAAGGGACTGTAAGTGTAATTTCAACTGACCCTCCATGCAAGGATAGCAAAGCCCGATTCACAACGGTACCCTTGAAACCTTTCTCTGATTTCAAAATGTGACATGAAGCGGACGTTTTCCTGACTCATGAAACGGACGTTTTCCTGACTCATGAAACGGACGTTTTCCTGACTCATGAAACGGACGCTTTCCTGACTCATGAAACGGACGTTTTCTTGACTCATGAAACGGACGCTTTCCTGATTCATGAAACGGACGTTTTCCTGACTCATGAAACGGACGCTTTCCTGACTCATGAAACGGACGTTTTCCCGACTCATGAAACGGACGCTTTCCTGACTCATGAAACGGACTCGGAAAATGTTTATTTCTTGAATTTCTCCTTTGCTTCTTATAAACAAGGAATGCGCAATTCACTTTCGCAGAAAAAGAAAATGAACAGTTTTTGAAGAAACAAAAACATTAAATATCGAAATCATACTTGATCAAATCTTGCTTTCAAATTGTAAACCGGGTATTGCCATCTTTGTATGGAGGGTAACTTGAACGTATGATTATCAATTCTTTTAACACAAGATAAATTCTAAAAAACTTCCATAGTCTCTTTAAGCAATTAATTACTCAAAACAACATAATGTTTGCTGTAATTAGAGATGATGAAACTCTTTTCTGTGTTTAATTGAATAGATTAATACATTATTAAATAATATTCCTTAAATCTTAGAGAAAATAAATTTGAAAATAAAGAAATTTAAAATTATTCTTTTTTTTAAATTGATGAATGAGTGCAAATAAATAAAAGTTTAAATATTTATGGACCGCTGACGAAGTTTTACATCCTCGATTTAAAACGGTAACTTGAATTAATGTAACAGAAACAAGGTAGGAAATTAAAGTTTTAAAAAGTTCTCAGATAAACGTTGACATGGTATTGTTGTGAATTTGACGAGAAAAATTAAAAATTATATAATGTGTTCCTGCTTGTTAGGGTGAGAATTTCTGCTTGTTCCTTCAATGCACCAATTATTCTTTAACAACAAAAATGATAATTTTCTAAGTTTTGGTAATTTTTTTTTTGCACTTATGGTATTTTTTAACAATCAAAATGATTTTATAGTGTCCATTGACTTTATCAGGAAGAGGAGAATATTGTTATTATCCTAATAAGATTATCATTATAATCATCAAAAAAATAATTTTTCAGATTTTCAGAAAAAAATATTTTCTTCAAAGTACTTTTTTAACTAAAACAGAGATGTCCAAGAAAAAAAGAGTATCTTCATGTAAAAATGTAAAAAGAAGATTTTTAAACTTCAAAAATTTTAGAAAAATGATCAGTCGAAAAAATCATTGTCAAGAAAATCTTGGTCATAATTTTACATCGTTATTTTTGTTCCTTGGATGGCAGTGCCCTTGGTTAACTGCAGAGTAAGCAGAGAGAAAATCATAATATCTAAAATAAAATATTTTTAAATTGTTTTATCTTTGCAACCTGACGAAATTTCTAATGAATTTCTTATATCCTCTAAATTAATTAATTGATTTTTTTTTTATCCAAACAGTTTCTTATTTTCAGAATAGTATTATAGTATAGTAAGAATATTATGAAATACAAAATTCGAATTCAAAACGCTTTTAATAAAAAAGTTCTGTTCCAAATAGTCATATTATGTTTTTATTGCAAAGAAATGGGAATGAAAAAATCTGAATTTACGGCAAAGACAATTAATTCTTTTGTTTTGGGTGCTCTATCAAAAGTAAAGTTGATTTAAAAAGAATTAGTAATTATGACTTACTTCTTCCCCTCTGCATCCCACATGAAAACCCCCTTTGCCCTTGTGAGAGCTACAGGGAGGGGGTGGTAATTGTGAGCCCCACATCGATCCTCACGCGCTATTATCTCCTGGGTGCTCAACCCTCTCCATACACCAACTAGATATAATCATCATCATCATCATCATCATCATCATCATCATCATCACCAATAAACTCTAACAACCATCATTTTTTAAAGATGGTTGTTAGAGTTTATTTTTAATAAGGAAAAAACTAAATTTTCTGTTTAATATGTTTCTTAATATTAATATTTTTCTTTCCAAAAGAAATTTGATTCATCTCTCTCTGGAAAATTAAACGGGATTTTATTTTCAATTTTCCTTACAAAGAATGAAAGAAACCATCAAAAGAAAAAGAAAAAGAAATTTTTTAGTTTTGATCAAGATGTTTTTAATGTTTAAAAATATATGTCAATGTGATCAAAATAAAATTATTGACTTAAATTGTCAATTATTATCTTTATAACCCTAGCTACATTCATTCGATTATGAAAGACTAGGGGGGGGGGGGGTTCGAATAAGCTATCTGATACCTAAAAATCCAAACAACAACTTTTTTCTTTAAAAAAATACTATCCACAAAAATTTATTTTTCCTGCAACAAATAAAGTCATAAGAAAAGATGATCAATTATCGATAAATTCTCATGAAACTTTAATTGAAAATTTGAAACGATTTATTTGAAATTAAAGTTTTTATGTTTAGTAAACATGACAATATCTTTAAAATACGAAGTGATTTTAACCTAATTTAATTCTATATAATAGAATTAAATGTAATGCTATATAATAGAAATTGAATGAATATTGATGTTCTTAACATCAATATTCAATCTTCTCTATTGAGGCTCAGGGAGCTCAAGTATGACGTAATAAATTTGTTCAATTAAATCTTTGGAGAGAGAAATTTGACTTTTGAAATTTATAAATCATTCATTTTCCATTCTATATTGGGTTTAAAGGTTTATTTAATACCAATTTGATAAAGTTGAATGATAATATTTTAATTTTAGAAATTAATTTTTAGAAACTAAATTGAAGTATCAAGGAAAATTATAAACATTTCTCAGGGGCAGTGGGTCTCAAAATGTCTAGCGAAAAAAAAATATGAAAAACCTGTAAATTCTATGTGAACCCATTATGAAAAAAAAAATTAAAAATTTTAAAATTGATGTTTCATTCTCAAAGTTTTAGATGGATAATGTATACCTGTGTTTTCTTTTTCGCGAACTTCATTGGACATTTTTATGTTTGTTTTTAAATTTTGCGTCTGTTAAAAAGTTTTTTTTTACAAAAAATGTTATGACGCTAGAGACAATTTGAAAATTTTTTGGACACGCAAACTACATCAAAATTAATTCAGTCTCTGTGGGCTGATATGTGTTCCAATACCGTACAAAAAGTTTAAGAGATAGAAAATTCAAAATATCTACGTTTGATTGGTAAAACAAAAACCAATGATTTTGATTCCAGATGTACCTAAGAGTCGTGTATAGACATTTTGTGCATTTAATTATAAGCTAATTAATATTTCAAGATTTTAATTCTGTGATATTAAATATAGTCCAAGTCCCAGGTTAAACCCATAAAATGAAATTAGCAGTTTGAAAGTGTTTAAGTTCTTTAAATAACAGTTTGATTATTTTGTATGAAGTATATTATTGCGTGTGTTTAAAATTTAGCACAGCACTGGGCTGAAGATGACCGACTGACCGTCAGAAATATACGCATTCAACTGCTGTTTATATACAGGGTGTCCGCTGCTGAATCTTTACAATGGTGTCCGTAATATATCTACGCATGTAGCTGCTGTATAGATACAGGGTGTCCGCAAAATGTCTACGCATTTAGCTGCTGTATATATAGAAAGGGTGTCCGCAAAATGTCTACGCATTTAGCTGCTGTATATATATACAAGGGTGTCCGCAAAATGTCTACGCATTTAGCTGCTGTATATATACCAGGGTGTCCGCAAAATGTCTACACATTTAGCTGCTGTATATATACAAGGGTGTCCGCAAAATGTCTACGCATTTAGCTGCTGTATATATACAAGGTTTTTTATTAATTATTTAATTAAAAATGATAAAAAGAAACATTAGTTATATTAATAATCGGGTTTTCTGGTAAAAATTGATATGTTTATTTTTATTTTGTTCTTAGATGATGAATTTGAAGATTTATTAAGGTGAAAAGAGTTAAAAGACCTTCCCAGCAATTTTATACTATTCAATTAAAGGTTTATTTGGCTAATTTGAGGGTAAACTAAATAGCCTATTAAGTAATCATTGGTATTCGTCTAACATTTCGAAGACAACTATGGCCTCAGAAAAATCCGATTTATCATTTAGAATTCCAGCGCAAAGGTATGTTAACTTTGAATTTACGCTATATTTGATGCTTTTTGTCAGTCATGGATATTTTAAAAAATTTTAAATATTAAATTAAATTTTAGTATCTAATATTTGTAGACTTTATTATATAATGGCTGACACATGATGTCACTAAGATATAATAATGTTAGATTTTATTTGACTGCTGTTACTGAAAAAACGTTTAAATAGTGTCTATGCAAAGGTATCATACCTTACCGCTGGAACTCTTAACGCTAAATCGGCTTTTTCTCCGGTCATAGATATGACATGTGGATTTAACGGTTCTGTCAATAATCCAGAAAACTGTGACTTCGATCACAATTTGTCCTAATAAGCATCATTTTTTCTTAAATTCATTTTTTTCGGCATTTTGAATGAAAAGTGTGAAACAAACAAATTTTAAAGATTGTTTAAAGATTGTTTAATTATAAACCAAAACGCGTATGATTTCAAATAGAAGAAACCGAATGCCTTTAACTCTTGTTAGTCCGGTGTGATGATTGAAAATGAATAGCCAATAAATAGGCTTATTATTTTACCATGAAATTACACAACGAAGTGAACGGTCCCTTTAAGTTGAGTTTAAATTTAAGGGTACTTCAGTCCGAATTTCATATCGGTATTCTTTCAATCTAATTGTCTGATCAATAATGAGAGATAACGACGTTTCAATAGGTTGAGAAGTGATTAATTCTAATAATTTTTCACATTGTTTTCCAGCAGTAGCAACCTACTTTAGTAGAGAAGTCACAATTGAAAAAAATCAGTTTTCACAATGATAACCGAGGTTATCTAATTCATACTTGACCAGACAAAGCCGACTCCCCCCAATATCCTCTCTCTCTTTTCTTTAATCTCTCACACCTCTCAAACCTTGTTTTATAAAGTGATTGCTCTCCTTAAACTCTTTAATCTTTGTGAAGAAACAATCTCAAGAACTGACGAGGGTCAACCCAGACCGAAATATATTTTCAATAAATGCCTTTTATTAATGTTTAAATCAAAAACCAAGACTCAATATAGTTTTTAACAATTAACAGTAAATATTTATCGTGTTTAAGTGTCTGTATTCAAGTGCTTATACTGAACAATGCTCATTTAAGTAAATGTTTGAGGGGTGCGAATCAACCGGATTTTCTTGCAGATGCATTATTACGATTTTATGAATAGTTTCTAAACCAGTTGATCTTATCCTACCCTCTAAACCAAACCAGATTTTCAAGTTTAAATGAAACCACAATACAATAACACGAGAAATCAAGAATAATTATCATTATACAAAAAGAAAAGAACAAAAGTTTGTGCAATGTTGAGTCTTATACTTTTTGAACAAAAGCAATAAATACTTAAAAGGGGAGGAGAAAGTATTTTGAACGTACAAGTTGTACGGCGGTAAGCGATTTTATCAAAAGTTTTAATTGTTAACAAGCTTTTTACGAATTTCAAGTTTACAAGTAAACAAAGAGAAGCTTTTTTTATTGAGGTCTTCTCTCTTTGTTTCCATGTTTGTGTGTGTCCATGCTGTTTAAAAGGTTGATGTAATAAAAATGTAAATCAAAATCTTTTAAAAAAATTGTTTTTCTCTTTTAAACTTCTCAAAAATGCTTATTCGAAAACGAAATAAGAGGCCGAATTTAATGAATTTGAGCTATGTCGCTGAACCTATTGTCGATTCCAATTTGAACCAGTGGTAGGCAGTTTCCGACTCTATAATTTCTATCTGAACTGTGCAACTAGTGGTTTAGGAGAAACTTTAGGAGGTTCAGATACGTACACACAGAACAGAATATATTCTATCTACACACAGCTGAGGAAAGGAAAAGTTAGAAAGGGAATGGAAAGGTAAGGGGGGGGGGGGGTAAAAGTGAAAGGAAAAGTGAGGTAGGAGAAAGAAAAGAGAAGGAAAGATAGAAGGATGGAAAAAAGTAAAAAATTAGGATAGAAATGAAAGAAGAAGGGTGGATGAAAAGGAAAGGGAGAAGGAATGATAGAAAGGGAAAAATAAAGGAGGATAGGAAGAGAATTGTAGGATGGAAAGGGAAAGGGAGGAATAAAAGTGAAAGGAGAAGGGAGGATGGAAAGGAGAAGGGAGGATGGAAAGAAAGAGAGAGAGAAGAGAAGGATGTATGGACAGGTAAGAGAGAATAGAGTGAAGAGAGATGCTACGGGTTCATCAGTATACTCTCATACCTCCGGAGAACTAGGGAACCTCCCACCAAACCAGGGAGGTAGGAGGGGAGATGGGGGGGGGTAATTTCTGAATTTTAGAGTGATTTAAATCTGAATATTTAAGTTAAAATTATATACTTATATACTTTTTAAACTCAAACTATTTCATAAAATTGAAATAATAAACTAAATATTTCAAATAATAAATGATAAACTAAATGTTTCAAATGATAAAGTAAGAGTTACATTAATTAACTAAATGTTTCAAATATTAAACAAAATGGTTTAAATAATAAACTAAATGTTCCAAAAAAAGTAAATGTTAAAAATAATAAAATAAATGTTTAAATATTAAATGCTAATAAAATTTTACTAATTGATATTCTTAAATCTTTCAGAAAAGAAAATGGCGGCTGGGATGATTGCTGAAAGTACTTCAAGAATGGTTAAACAGAGATCAATGGAAGCTCTGGACAAGCTCAGGACGTACACAGGGAACCCAGACTCAAGGTACGTGTCTACAGTTGTACTCAAATATTATATGTACATAGAGAACCCGGACTCAAGGAGGTACTTATTGTACACTTGTACTTAAATATTGGATGTACTTAAGGAATCCTGACTCAAGGTACATAGTGTGAAGTTGTACTCAAATACATATAAATAATACATACAGAGGGAACACTGACTCAGGCTAAAAAGTATACATACAGCTCTATACAAATATAAATATACATGTATACAGGGAACCCTGACTCAAGGTGCATAGCTAAGAGTTGTACTTATAAATACAAAACTAAAATGTACACAGGGAACCCTGATACAAGACCCATTTTACATATTATGCAAAGTACAGTGTACTCTGTACACTGCAAATGTACAAAATATTAAATTTATTTAACTCGAACGTACGTTTCCCAGCTTTGCCATTATAAATTGCAGAAAACTGATTCTGCAAAAAAGTATAAATGTTGTTGCAAAAGAATGAAAGAAAAGTTGAACAAAGTTTTCAATGCACAACAAAAAATTGCTTTTATTGACTCAAATCTTTTTTTAGTATTTCTATGACCCCCCCCCCGCAGGAATAGGGTTAAAAAAAATCCGTTCCGAGGCCGAATTTTAAGAATTTAAATTTAAGCAAAAATTTGAACAAAATTTGTAATCGGATTGGCTTCAATTTAGAATCAGAATTGGCATTAGACGGAATATAACTAAATAGTCTGGGTCCAACGTTCACAAAAAAATCATTAAAACCCTCTGCTGACTTGAAAATACTTTGACTTCCCTAGGCCTGAGTCCATGCACCGAATTCATCATTTTAACCTTATCATTGCTATAAAATTTAAAATAAAAGAATAACACAAATTAAAACTGGGGAGAAATGCTTTATAATCAACATTTTAAACATAAAGAAGGTTTTTTCTTTCAATAAACATTTTAATCTTTATTATAATGATTCTAAAATTAGTTTTATGACATAAACAAGTTTTTTTATAAACTTTCTTTATTAGCTGTAGGACTGATTTAAACATATTTTAACTTATAACTTTTGAAAATATCAAAATTATCATTGACATGGAACAAAGCTTATTCTGTGGGTTAAAAAAACTATTTTGATTGATTTTATTTTGATTATGTACAGGGTTACCCACACAGTATGAGACTGTAAAGACGACCCAAAACCTTAAAAATATGACGATTTGAAGCTTGATTTTTGGTTTCTGCACTCAATTTAGTATTTA